GATTCAGTACTGTACCCGGGTCTGAAGCCGGACTGAAAAGGATCCAGGATAGAAATAAACCTGTTGTTAAATACAAAATAAAGCTGATATCACCACCAACATAAATTCAACAGAATAAATTAATCTTTATAGCAATGGATGTGACATACATTGAGAAAATGTGACAGATGTTGGCTCACACTAGAGCAAAAGTTCTCATTTTTCTAGTTACTTATTACTTATGAACCTGGACTTTCCAGTTTGCCTACTCTGTGCAATGAGTATCTGGTGAACTGCAGGCTACCTAATAACTGCAGATAGGCCACCTTGAGCTGCCTGGAGGAAAGACAGGATATATATTACAGATCCTTTTTGGCTGAAGAATGGGGTAAACATGCTATAATTACAAATCCGTAACATTAAGTGGTCAATTTTGCTGTTTCAACACTTGGAAAGATTTATTTTTAATGTGAACTAGCAGAAAACAAAGGCCAGTAAAGGAGAAGATAATTGGACAATTTGTTTGAGAATAAAGTTTGAATGAAATAATTTCATATTAAAATTATGAAATGAATTTTCATAATTCATAATTTTAATTATTATTTCGGTAGGACAGTTTGCATACATGCTCTCTTGTTAGGAGTTCCTGTTTCTATAGTTCAGTTCTTAAACTGGTTATCACACTATTTAAACTTTCAGATACAACTCTGTCTCTGAAATCTTCTGTTCTCTTCCTCTAGAAAAGTGCTTTGTTTCCTGTGCACGTATTTGGATCTTGCCTTGCATTTGGAATCGGAGCCATTTACATTCTAGTTCAGACCATTCTTTCCTATAAGATGCAGCCAGGAATTCACGGGAAGAACATTTTTTGGATTAGATTGACAGTTCTGCTCTGGTGTGCATTAAGTATTCTGAATAGTATCCTTTGTGGTGAAAATGGTGAATGTGAGCTGTTGCGTAAAAGTATACGCTTAATTGAAGCAGAGTTTTCATTCAAAGAAATAATGGATAAAAAAAGCAATAGTTATGGTAATGCTGAAATCTGTCACAGAAGGTATGGATTTCAATAGCTGTTATTAAGTATACATTGTGCATATTCCTCATATTATATGTATCTGCCATCAAAAAGTAACTAATCTTGTGTTAATTTTCACTGAGTTCCCTTGGACTGATTTAGCATAGCTTGCCTAGGAAAGCACCCCCCCCCATATATATATATATTCAGCAGTTTCTCTGATTTCAACAGAACTTGGTTCTGAGAAAGTTCAAGAGCACAGAATTGCCTTTAGGGGATCAGACTAACATCTTCTTAGTTCAGCAACCTGCTTCCTAAATGGCAAACCAAATATGTCTAGGAAGTAAAGCTTGAAGGGAGTAGAAAAATCCTTCTTCCACTATTGTTCTATAATACCTGGCCTGGGGTGATTGGAGCCATAATTCATTGCATCTGAGCACTGTCAGGCTGGGGAAAGCTGAACTTTTGGGCAGGCTCCAGAGAGCTTTGTGAGCAGAAGAACCTGCTTTGACTTGTGGAATCTGATTTCTATCTCCATCTGACTCCTGGGCAACATCCCATGCTACTCTTGAGGGAGCCTTCTGACACCAATGAGGAAGTGAGTTGGGGAGCTGCATAAGTGGACTGTTTGTGCCTCTATCTCAGAAGGATGATATGGAGGCACAAGAGGTAGTAACATGGATCGGTTCAGCAATGATTGGCCTTCCTTTGGCACATTTGGTTTGTTGTTGGTTAGAACACTTTACAGTGGGTGAAAAAACTACAGACTGTCCAGGGGCCAGATTGCTTCCAAGCTGAAAAACACCCAGGAGCTAAGCTGCACGCCCTGACAGAATCAGATCTTTGTTGGTGTTCTTCTTGTTGGCATTTTCAGTCTTTTCCCTTCCCTGCTCAGTCTAAGGCCTGCAGTTGGTGAATGCTTGCAGGTGCTTCTTTCTTTTCCAGGTGCTTCTTTCATGCTTCTCAGCCAGCTCCACTCTGCTTCTCCTTTCCCTGTGGGGAAGGAAAAAGAACAAAGCCTACTCTACCAGTGGTTTTAAGAGCCGCTTGAGCCCAGGTGCTGAAAAGGAAAATGCAGGAAAATATTGAGACAAAGCTACGAGGAGTGTACAATCAAGTTAATTAATGTGTCAGGATTAGCTTGTTTGTGCTATTGCACTGTTACGGAGATAAGGAATAATTAAAATAAAAAGGACAGAAGAGAAGCGGAAGTGCTATATTGAGAATATATAGACTGGATCTATGTTATTAGCAATTCATGAGGCCCCTCTGCTGGTTGGATGTTAAATTGCAGCTGTTGATAATATTTGGGATATTATATAGCTGAGGAAAGAAGAGAAGTGAAAGGCAAGGGAGAAAGATACACTGAATTGAATGCAGAATTCCAGAGAATAGCTAGAAGAGATAAGAATGCCTTCTTAAATGAACAGTGCAAAGAAATAGAAGAAAACAATAGAATAGGGAGGACCAGAGATCTCTTCATGAAAATTGGAGATATGAAGGGAACGTTTCATGCAAAGACGGGCATGATAAAGGACCAAAATGGCAGGGACCTAACAGAGGCAGAAGAGATTAAGAACAGGTGGCAGGATTACACAGAAGAACTATACAAGAAAGAGCTTAACGTCCCTGATAACCACGATGGGGTGGTCACTGACCTTGAGCCAGACATCCTGGGATGTGAAGTCAAATGGGCCTTAGGAAGTCTGAGCAACAACAAAGCTAGTGGAGGTGACAGTATTCCAGCTGAGCTAGTCAAAATCTTAAAAGACGATGCAGTAAAAGTGCTACACTCAATAAGCCATCAAATTTGGAAAACTCAACAGTGGCCACAGGATTGGAAAAGGTCAATTTACATTCCGATCCCAAAGAAGGGCAATGCCAAAGAATGTTCAAACTACCGCACCACTGCAGTCATTTTGCATGCCAGCAAAGTTATGCTCAAAATCCTACAAGCTAGGCTCCAGCAGTATGTGGACTGAAAACTACCTAAAGTACAGGCAGGATTTTGAAGAGGGAGAGGAACTAGAGATCAAATTACCAACATACACTGGATCATGGAGAAAGCAAGGGAGTTCCAGAAAAGCATCTACTTCTGCTTCATTGACTATGCTAAAGACTTTGATTGTGTGGATCACAACAAAATGTGGCAAGTTCTTAAAGAGATGGGACTACCAGACCTTCTTATTTGTCTCTTGAGAAACCTATATTTGGGTCAAGTAGCAACAGTGAGAACTGGACACAGAACCACTGATTGGTTCAAAATTGAGAAAGGAGTTTGGCAAGGCTGTATACTGTCGCCCTGCCTATTTAACTTATATGCAGAGCACATCATGAGAAAGGCGGGGCTAGATGAGTCACCAGTTGGAATTAAGATTGCCAGGAGAAATATCAACAACCTCAGATATGCAGATGATACCACTCTCATGGCAGAAAGTGAAGAACTAAAGAGCCTCTTGATGCGGGTGAAGGAGGAGAGCGCAAAAGTTGGCTTGAAACTCAACATTAAGAAAACTAAGATCATGGCATCTGGTCCTATCACTTTCTGGCAAATAGATGGGAAAGAAATGGAGGTAGTGATAGATTTTATTTTCCTGGGCTCCAAGATCACTGCAGACGGGGACTGCAGCCAAGAAATTAAAAGATGCTTGCTCCTGGAGAGGAAAACTATGGCAAATCTAGACAGCATACTAAAAAGCAGAGATATCACCCAACAAAAAGTGTGTATGCCAACAAAAGTGTGTATAGTCAAGGCTATGGTTTTCCCAGTTGCAATGTATGGCTGTGAAAGCTGGACCATAAGGAGGGCTAAGCGCCAAAGGATTGAGGCCTTTGAATTGTGGTGCTGTAGGAGACGCCTGCGAGTCCCTTGGACTGCAAGATGATCAAACCGGTCAGTCCTAGAGGAGATCAACCCTGACTGCTCTTTAGAAGGCCAGATACTTAAGATGAAACTCAAATACTTTGGCCACCTAATGAGAAGGAAGGACTCACTGGAGAAGAGCCTAGTGCTGGGAACAATAGATGGCAAAAGAAGAAGGGGATGGCAGAGGATGAGGTGGCTAGATGGAGTCACTGAAGCAGTTGGTGTGAGCTTAAGTGGACTCCGGGGGATGGTGGAGGACAGGAAGGCCAGGAGGAATGTTGTCCATGGGGTCGCGATGGGTTGGACACAACTTTGCGACTAACAACAAAAACAATAAAATTAAGAGCTCCACTGCTGATTGAAAGCCAAATTGCAATTGTGGAGTGTAAATAAGTCATTACTATAAATTCAAGAGCATCCTCCTCCTAGTTGGATGTTAAATCACAACTGTGGATTGTAAAAAAGTCATTACATATTCATGAATTTTCTTTGGTAGCTAGATGTGAAAATGTAGCAAGAATGTAGAAAGTATCTGTCAATGACCTAAAGTGAAACAAGGCCTTTCTTATAAACTTCATCCATTGGATTTGCATCTGACAAGAGTAGAGAAAAGTTGTGAAATGGATGCGAAAAAAAAATCACCGGAAAAATCAAAAATTTTATCAGTGCCTCAATTATCAACACAACCAAACAAGCTTGATATACTTTTACAGGAACTCAGAGAAATGAAGATAGTTATGAAAGAGGATATGAATAAATTAAAGTACAAAATAGATAATATGGATGAAAGAATAAAAGATTTAACTAAAGTTAAAAGATTTAACTAAATGTAAAGAGTTAAAAAATAGTTTTAAAAGTTTTAAAAAATGACCAAGATAGATCAGGTCCCCAAAAGCATGATTGAGATCCGGGACAGACAACAAAGATCAAATTTACACCTTAAAGGATATCCAGAGGATGAGAAAGAGAATGAAGATAAATTGATTCAATCAACATTGGTCTGGGCTAAATCTTTTTTTCCAGATGTTCCTTTTACAAGATAGGATACTGATGCAATACAGAGTTGGCCCAAGAAGAGCTGGAAGAAAAACGCTGAGAGACATGGTGGTTCGATATTGGCCATATGCAAAAAAAGAACAATTGATGCAGTAGTTACATGATATGACATCAATTATGTTCAAAGGATACCAGATTCAGGTTTTTCTTGATTTATGTAATGCAACTTTTCAATGGAGGAGGGATATATTTCAATTTTGCCAAATATTAAAGAAAAATTCCATTAAAAACAGCTGGGGGTTCACAATTTTTTTGGTTTTTATATAATGGAAAATATTACAGAGTTGATACAAAGGAGGAAGCGCTGAAGTTACTAAAGCAGTTGGAATTATCTATGATGATGAATATGCAGCGCAATTGCAGAAATTAATGGATATGCCAACATTCTCTAGAAGGGAGACAGAGAAGAAAAAAGAAGAAGTTGAATAAAGCAACAAGAGGTTCAGGTTCTCCATAGAAACAGAAAGATGAGGAAAGATAGAAGAAGGAAGTAAAAAGAGACAAGAAAACCTGTAACAGATACAGAAAATATATATATTGTGTTCTGTAGGGTTGTAGTTGTTATTGAATCTTTCTTAAACAAGAAGTATTGATAAGTGAGAAATATAACAGAAATTTGGGTATAGAATAAAAGGGGATAGATGATTGCGGAGAGTGGAGTGGGTGTCTGGGGTCCGTGTAGGGGTGGCTCACCCCCCCCACAAGCCTGAAGTGCTGGGAAGGAGGAAAAGCTCCAGAAGGGGGGTCCCTATAAATGAATGTGGTGGGGGATAGGGATTAGTATGGGGAAGTGTAATTGTAGTTCTATTAAGTTTTTGTTGGAATGTTTGTTTAGTCACATATGGATACCAAAAAGAATATTTGACATATTGATAAAATGGGGAAAACATTGAAGATAGTGTCATGGGATTTAAATGGCTTGGGAGAAAAACATAAACGAGCCAGAATCAAAAAATCTATTCATAAGGAGAAAGCAGATATTATATTTTTACAAGAAACACATCAAAAGAAAGATGGGGTGAATGAATTAAAATTATATTGGGCAGATGTATATAAAAAGCATATGGTACATCAAAAGCAAGAGGGGTAGCAATTATTGTAGCTAAAAGATGTGCATTTAAAATAAAAGTTATAAAAAGAGATCACATGGGGAGATTTCTTATAATACAAGGTTTGATTTATGGGCAAGAGGTGACTTTAGCCAATTTATATGCACCTAATACAAATCAAAGAGAGTTTTATAATAAAGTGTATAAAGAAATAGAAGAAATAAAAAGAGGAAGATCCATTTGATGGATTGGGTGTTTTAAAAAATAAAAAAAATATTAGTTCCTAAGATGAAAATGATGTTTAATAAAATAATGGAAGGGGAAATAATTCCAAGTTCTTGGAAACAATCTATGATAGTATTGATAGCAAAACCTAATAAAGATCTTACAACCCTGGATCTTACAGACCGATATCTCTTATTAATCAAGATGCTAAGATCTTTACAGCAATATTGGCAAATAGATTGAATAAATTTGTAGATAAATATAGAATGATAAATGTGGGTTTATAAGAGGTCAACAAATGTCAAATGTAGTAAGGAGAGTATTAAATATTAATTATTATATAGAGAAGCAAAATTTAAAGGCAAGTATATTAGTATTAGATATATTTAAAGCTTTTGATTAAGTGGAATGGCCAACAATGAAGATTTTAATAGAAAAGATGGGATTTGTAACAAAATTTAAGAAAGTAATAAATCAGTTATATTCTGAAAATACGGCAAAATAATTGTAAATGATGGTATTACAGAAATAATGACCTTAAGCTGAGGAATGAGACAGGGTTGCCCTTTATCCACAATATTATTTGCATTAATGATGGAAGTACTGGCAAATGCAATCAGAAATGATATACAGATAGAAGGAATTGGAATATGTCAGAAAATTAAAATTAATTTATTTGCAGATGTTACATTGCTAACGTTTCAAGATCCAATAAATACTATAGAGAGAATATATTCAAGGAAATATTCTGAGTTGCAAGTAAATTAGGAAAAATCAGAAATGTTATATAATCATAATAGTGAAGAACTTGATATATTAAAAGAAAAGTATAATTTAAAAATAATATTACATACTTAGGAATTTATATTTCAAAAAATAGTCAAGAACTAAAGAAGAAAAATTATGAAAAGTTAAAGAAGGATATAAAAGATAAAATAGGAAAATATGAAAAAGTAAAATTATCATGGTTTGGAGGAATAGCAGTAATAAAAATGAAAATTCTGCCAAAGACTGATTTTTTGTTTTGGATGATTCCAATCAAGTTTCATGATCAAGAATTAAAGGAAATACAGAAGTTATGGGAGGTATATTGTAATGGAGGGAAGAGAGCAAGAATAAGTAAAGTATTATGGTATGAATCACAAAAAGTGGAGGGCTGGGTATTCCAGATGTTTAAAAGTATTGGGTTGCAAATCAATTAAAGATAGTTCCAGATTTTATAACCCAAGTAACTAAAGAACTAATATGGAGTGATGTTGAATTAAAAGAATTAAGGAAATAGGTGATCATTTAGAGACATATTGGTTTAAAAAGGATATATAAAAGATTATTAAGAGAATTCAAAGTCCCTTTTAAAATAAATATGAAGGAAGTGTGGGAAAAATGAAGACAGCAGTTAATGCTGGGAGTTTCTCTGTTAATACCAGTGGTGGAAATAGAGAAATTCCCAAAGAATCAAAGGATTGGATTAATAAATTAAAAAATAATCAAATATATAAATGGGAAGATTGGAAAAATAAGATAAAAAATATAACAATTAACGAGTGTACTAGGTCAAATTAAATTGGTTAAATTTAACACAATTAGAAAAATGGATAAAGATGGAGGAAAAATTTAAGGAGGAAGAAAGACAATTAACAAATTTTGAAACAATTGTGAAAGAATGTGAGATTAAGGAAGACTACAGGTAAAGGAAGAATTGCTAAAATTTATAGAATATTAATAGAATTAGAGGATCAGACAAAAAGCTTAAAATTAATTTGGGAAATGGATGTAGATGAAATAAAAGACAAGAAATGGAAGAATATTTGGAACAGAAGAGTATATTAAAGAACATGGATATAAAGTGACGTGGAGATGGTATTTAAGTTAAGCCAAATTGATGATAAATAGTCTAATGTTTGTTGAGAGTGGGGAAGAGATTGGAACTTACAAACATATGTGGTGGGATTGTGATAATATATAAAAAATATGGAACATGGTGTTTAATGAAATTAAAGAAATTTTAGATATAAATTTAGAAATATTACCAAGAATTGTGTTGTTGTTGTTGATTGAAAAACAAGATATAAATGAAGCTAAGAAAGAATTGATTTTAAATTTGATAATGGCAGCCAGGTTAATGGTGGTTAAATATTGGAAACATAATTGGGTTATGCAAAGGAATGAGAGGAATAATGAAATATGGAATATGGTAATTAACGATAAATTGACAACCAAAATAAAAATCAAAAAAGGGATAATAAAAGTAAGTAAATATAATGAAATATGGGAAGATTTTGTAAAAGTAATATTGATGGAAGGTAAAGGGTATAAGCCTATTCAAGAATATATGAATTTTTGGAGGGGATATGGGTATAAATGAAAAATATTATACATTGTTAATTGTTAAATGAAATGAAATGAAGGTAATAATTGGTCTCCTGAGGGGTGGGTGCACAGTGATCATTATTATTCTTTTTATTATGTGTATATATGTTTGTAAAAGAAAAGAGCTACTTGAGCCCCAGCCGCAGGACTCAGCTGGCTCCTGGAACTGTTGCCTGAGTAGATTGGTTAGGGAGGCTTTGCTGTGAAGCAAAGTGCTAAGTGGGATTGTAAGACAAGCATGCTCACTGTGTCTCTCTCTGCCATTCCTTAACTTGTTGCAAAGTGTTAATTTCTTCTGCTGTATTACACAGTGGTCCATATGGAACTGATGTAGTACAGAAGCTGCACTGGGACCCCCAGGAGAAAGTAAGTTTGCTTCTTGTTAAAAGATTAAGAGAATATGCATAATAGATTTGTCCACTGCATTGCAGAATATTTTCCAAGCTGCCTAATCATATTCATGTATCCTTTTGGTTCTTCTCCCCTGAAAGGGAGCTTAGAAGTATTTGAAACAATTGCCCAAAAGAACAATATTTGAAACAAAAGTATTTGAAACAGGTAATAGTTGCCCCGAAGAGCAATATTTTGTCAGGGCAATGAACAAGGAAGATAAAGTAGCTGAAGTTCACAATTGTCTTGTTACAATTACCAGAAAAAAGAGGTGGATTATCTGATCTTTGCTTGTCCAGGCTTCTGCCCATTTGCTAGCCTCTTTGAATAGACTTTCCCATGCACAGATAAAGGGGCACACAACCCACCAAGTCCTTGGTCCATGGCAGGGATGCTCCTCATGATATCTGTGAGTACTGTGGCCTTTTCGCTGGCATCCTTTCCCCGTCGGTATCCAGAAAAGTTGGATTAAACTGAAGATCTCTCGTGTTCATGAAGGATGTTCGTCTTCCTCAGCAGTTGCCAGGAATTGACATACTACCTCCAAACCTTGACATTTCATGTAACTATCACAGCTGGAAGCAAGTGACGAACTGTCTTTTTTCCATTTTTGGCCAGGGCCTTTTGTAGAGTGTTCCCACACCGTAAAACCTCTTTCTTCCTCTAACACTGATGTAACACTATTGGCATGGACTTCTGGTCGGCTATGTCCTCCAGGTGCGTTAGACAGGAGCTTTTATCACTGCCAGCTAGCTTGACCATGCTGACTGGGCATGTTAGGAGTTGTAGTCCAACCCATTTAGAAGGCAACAGTTGAGGGAAGGATACTGTATATACTCCAGCAAAGACAAAATCTGTGAAAAACTACACAGGAAAAAAGGCAGTTAATAACAAAAGGGAGCACTGAGTTCTATATTAATATTAGCAACTTCAGGATTACCTAGTACTGCTTTGATAGTTTTCTCCCACACTTGAAGCAGGTGACTTACTCTTGGACAGAGTTTGCATTTTGTGTCAAGAATTCACAGAAATAAGAAAATTGAGAGCTAGCTGTCAAAACTCTTTATGAATACAGATATGCCAATAAGAACTACAACCACTTTGCAATAGCTCCTTCGCTCAGAACAGTTTTCTCTTAATTACAAAGCTAGAATCAGAGCAAACCAAACCAATTCTGCTCTAAAAGAGCAGGTCCTAAGAGCTAATAGAGCATTTTAGTGTGGAGAACTTTTTGTTGAATTTGCTGAAAAGCTGTTTGTAATCATTTGCCATGTTGCTCTAAAACTGCTCATAGTGGGCTCAGCTAAAGTTGCTAAATTTTATTCAGAGATTTGGAGTGTCAGAAATAAGTACACAGTAATCACAGCGTGGCATAGTGGTTAGAGTGCTGGGTTTGGAACCTGGGAGATCCAGAGGCTAGTCTCTGCTTGCCCATGATGCTCAGTGGGTAACTTTAGGCTAGTCACTCACAATCATCCTAACCTACCTCGCAGAGTTGTTGTGAGGATAAAAATACAGTGAAGGAGAACTATGTAAGCTGCCTTTGTTTCCTCACGAGAGGAGAAAAAGCATATCAATGCACTGCGATGATGAATCTCAGTTGCCTAAGCCACATCCTTTTCTTTGTTCTAAAGCAAAATCCTTTTTTCTTGCCAGACAGAATTTTGGCAGTAAATTTAGCAGTGTAAATACGACGTAGGGATGCAGGAGGCAGTGAGGCTCCCTTGACCTTCAGAAATTGCCCACCCCTTCCCTAACAGTACTCCAGGCAGCCTAGAACAGGAGTTTTTTAAAGCTGTTTAGGCCTCTTGGAAGAATTTCTGAAAGTGTGAAGAGGAAAATGACCCATTTCAATTTTCCTTCCCTTCTGCCAGCCAAGGCCTTCCTTTGATACACCATTTGGTGCCTGAGGGCATGCACTTAGGGATGCTGCCATCCCTGAGCCTGGTTGTTTTATGTCTTTATAGCCCAGGCTGGAAGCTTTCTTTTGCCTCCATTCCTGCCAGCATTCATCACCTGAGTTCAAGATCAGAAGGAGTGATGACATTCTGCCACCAAGAAATACTTAAAACTGTTTGTCTTCTACAGGGTTATGCTTTCCACATCATAAGCACAGCGTCCGAATGGTCCTTGGCTTTTTCTTTCCTAAGCTTCTTCCTTACTTATATCCGTGACTTTCAGGTAAACCAGTGTTTCTTCATTGGCTATACTGTATGCCAGCGACTTTGGAGATGGTGAAGCACCTCAGAGCTAGTGTTCCATTCTTATGGCGCAATAATACACTCCATGGGTTAATATAGACTATGAATTTCTATGGCATATTTTGTGAGGCAGAAATCACCCCAAGCTAATCAACATCTTTTGATATTTAAACTTCTTCAGTGTCCAAGGCTGCCCACAGTTTGGTACCATACGGACTGAATTCAAAATAGTTGCTGTTCCATGTTAATTAGTTTCTCTTTACATTGCTGAGCTATAAGAATAGAACATTTGGCACATGTAGATGATGGTATTTTACATGGCTGGATAGCAGTGTTTCATGGCAATGAGCTAATTAAAGTTACAAAGTGGTATATCAAACTTTACTGCAGGGATGGAAAAACCCTTTCAGTCCAAGTGCTGAATTCAATTTCACAGCAGGTCTCAGAGGCTGCAATCCAGTGATGGGCAGAGGCCAAAGATAAAAATGCTAGCATACTTTAAAGTTCTGACTGCCAGAGATTAAGTCTTAGAAGAGGCATTTCAACCTTTCAGAATGGGGGTTGCATGTACAAAAAACCAAATGACTGGCTGTCAGGAGAAACCCCAGAAGACAAGTTTGAGATCCCAGGAGGACTGAATGTGGCTCCGGGGCCTGATTTCCCCACCCTTGCTTTACTGATTCCCCTGGATTGCTGACTTTAGCAATGGAAAAAAATGAACATACCTTTCCAAAGGGCACTGCAGCATGACTTCGCTATTTCCCCCCAGCTTTTCTGCAGTAACAATTTGTATTAGCATGTATTACCATTGTTTATACCTTGCTCTTCAGGATACAAATCTGAGCAAATCAGCTTACAAATAATGTCAACAATCATTAATAAAATTACAAGTGAAATAAGTGATGAAGATCCTTCCCACAGGGCAGATATAGATGGCTCTATGGTAGGTTGGGTAGTTAACCTAGAGCAAACCCCGAGGTGCTTCTCCCCACTTGCCTGCTTCTCACTTCTGGGATCCCTCCAGGCAGATGGTAATTAGTCTTGTGTGGCAAGTGGGTTAGTCAGGCTGAATCAGGTGGTATTTTGGCTGGCCAGCTGGCTGCCATTCTCCCCCTTCCCTCTGTTTTTATGTTTAAAAGTTTCAACCAAATCCATCCAGTTACATCTATGAGATCAAAAGACCCCATGAGATCCCCCCGTTTTTCTCTTCTCTGTGAAACAAGATTTACTTATGCAGTTCATTCTACCATGGCATGGCTAGTGTTGTGGCAACAGAACTGGGCAAACTGACAAACCTCATTCTTTGATTTCCACCATTTCTTCCTATTGCAGAAAATTTCCTTGCATACAGAAGCACTTCTGCATGGGCACAATCTTTATGATACACACCAGCAGTTTCTTGAAGATGACCAAGAAATTCAAATTGCAGGAAATATATGAGAATGCAACAGAGAAATGTGCGAGTGTTGGACCCAAGAGTATTTGCTCATGGGAGGATATGATCTTGCAGAAGTTAGGAACCTTTGACTCAAGCACTGTGTTCTCATTTCTGTTAACGGAGGAATTCTGGCATTGAACATGCAGCTAACCACTATATGCCTCTTGTCCAATTGTCATGATCCCCATCTGCAGGCCTAAAAATATTGGTGCCTTCAATAAAAGCAAAAAAGTGTATTTTTATATGAAAATGTTTTTATAATAAAGAAACATGACTGAAATCTCATTTATATTGAAAAGAGCTTTCAGTTAACATTCAAAAGACTGCAATTTTGACTGTGAAGTAGTAATGGCAATAGTACCCAGCAACATTTCTGTACAGATTTTTATAAATTAAATAAATATAAAATTAAAGTTTGTTGTCGGAGTTCCATGAATAATGTATATGCGTGAAAGATGGGAGTAGAGTCCCATCCACATATAGATTAACATACCAGCAACCATAAAAATTAGAAAATGCCCCTCTGATTTCTCTAAACAAACCCCCACATGCCTCATACATGGAAGGATACAGGAAAAGTTAAGTATGCAGGTAGCACTCTTTATATTCTCCAGAGAAATCAAGAGTGGTTGAGGTGATGGATCAATGAAAGAATGAATGGTCAATAATGAATGCTGGAATTCTTGTGCTTATGACATTTCCCCTTGAAGAGATTGTTATTCCTTGGAGGGGGGTGACTCATTGTCCTCAGACACCCCATCAATACCAGCTGGCAAACACAGGCATGTAGCAGACAGCAATAGATAAGTTCATCCGGAAGCAATCAAGCACATATACAACAATTAGCATAAGTCTAGGAAACGTCTTTTTCACAGTGACAAGGGCAGAGAGAAACAGTACAAAGATCATGGACTTGGGAAATGGAAACGCTCTGAACAGGCCTGGCACCCTTCCTGTCCACACAAGGGACTGCTGTTGAGAGTATCCTGCAAGTAATGGACTCCCTTTCCTGACAGCTATATTGAAGCTGAAACTCTGGCTTGTGTCTCCCCTCAGTGTTGCATATGAACTAGCCCTTAGCCTCTACATAGGAGAAAACAAAAGACTGAGGCTATGGATGTTCTAGTGTTTGCATTAGACTTCTTAGAAAGAATCCTGAATGCAGTTTTTAGAGAGCCACCAACTTCCGTATTCCACACAATTGCAAAAACAAATTATCAGCTAAGACTGCAGCTAAAACGTGCTTTTCATAAAAACCATTCTGTTCCTGCTAGTGTGAATGGAACTCAGTGTAAGGAGCTGCACATCTTAAGGGACTTCCTCTTAATCCACTCAAGTTGTTCAGCTGAAGACTTCCTGCAGAAGAATAGATTTGTTTTCCTTCCATACACTTATGAGGTATTGGTCTGTTTTTTAAATCTCTTGTGACATTGCTTCTGGCCTAGTCTATAAGTTAACCCAGACACTGGGTACTCCTTCATAATGTCATTATAGATCATCCTGTATTGTAAGTCTACCTTTCCAAAACATCCATGTTCAGAAGACAAGATAGAATGGTATGTTAAGGATAAGCATTTACATCAGGATCGTCTGCCAAGGGTATGAACCAGAAGAGGGTTGCCTTTTCCCACTGGCCTGTAAATTCCCCAATACTGTATTTTTCTCACCAGTACTAAGTAATGGAGGCTATCCCTATTCCTCCCCACACTATCAAATGAATTTCCAAGACACACTAAAATATCTCATAATATATAGTTATGACCATAATCTTAAAAACTGACTCAATAAGCATTCAAAATCAGAAACCCAAGCCCTCTCTGTAGCTACTGAGTCACCCATACTCAACTAGGTGTGTGGACCAAATTGTAACACACACAAAACCTCTGGCACTTCTTGCTCTTACTCAGAACCCACAACTCACATAAAAACATTCACTCCATAAGGATGGCAGACTGAGAGCTCCAACTCCTTCATGGCACCACTGTGTCCTGTGTTCTGCAGCCTACCCTGGGGAATGCTGAAGACAAGAGCCCCTCTGCCCATACTCCAGCTCCTGCCTAAAGTTTGGTCTTTCTTGCAGGCCAAGTGCTTTATAAGCTGCATGGGAGATTAAACAACCTGAAACCAGGAGTCACAGCTCAAGTAAGGTGTCCACAAACCCTACAGTTCCTATTTATTCTCATAATGGTTATACTCTGATGCAAATTAGGAGTTAAGAAATTAAAATCATGAGTATGACTTTTTCAGCAGGTTTGAAGAAACCTAATAATAAACTGCTTATCACTAATTACTTTGAGAAATTCTAAACCATTATACCATTTCACTAGCATTACCTTTATTTCAGTTTTGAAACAAAATTCAAGTAACACTTTAATACTAACCAAGTAAATAATTCAAGTTTAGGCTAGTCCATTTTCTTCAATACCTTTAAGGCAAGAAGTGTACTTTTTAGGAAATCTGCAACTGAAAAAATTCATTTAATTTCCATTCTAAGGGCTGGTTCTGAAACCCAATTATCAGCAAAAAGGAAATTTTTGGAGAAACTAAAATATATCAAAATAAGGAAGGGCATACTGAAATAAGTATATAGTAGAGAAAACAGACTGAAATAATAAAATTACTGCAAGCTATAATCTTCTGAGTAAGATTTTAGACTTGCATAATCCTGGGCACTGAGATGGAGGGACGCACACACACCCATTAATACCATGTAGACATCAGAAAACTAGATTGTTGTTGGTTTTTAAACATAAAGGTCAACAAATACCTTTTTATTTAGCAAGTCACTGAAGCAAAGCAGTTGCAGCAGAGGTTTAAGCGAAATAAATATTACATCTGTTAAGTGTGCTGCATGTGTTTACGAATTTCCTCTAATGCTGCCTCTTTTTCACTCAGAAGTCGTTTAAGCCTTCTTATTTTTTCATCTTTTATTGTTTCCTCCAAATCTGGAGGGCTGAATGAAAAAATGTCTTTGAAAGAACTTTCACTAAGAAATGTTTCATTTTCACAGCAGGATGAAGTGTGGGTCAAAATGTTCTCTTCATTTTGAACAGAAGGATTAGTGTCAGAATCCAGTCTCTGAGGGAACTGCACAGAGTTTGTGTGATGTTCTTGCTCTGATACAATTTGTCTGTAAGGGCTAGTCTGGTTATCCATTACTGAAAAAGAGCTGGTACATTCTAACTCTGGATTCAATGTAGTTTCGACTTCAGTTTTCCTCTTCTTTCTATTCACTAATATTGGCGATATCATTGTCTTCCTCTTTATATTCTCTTCCCTCTGTTCTCCAATTATCTGTGTGTTAAGGAAAAAAAAGATTAATGTTGTATTTCTGCTTTAAAAATTAATCACATGATTAAAACCAAATGAAAATTCACAACAGCTATTTAGGCATTTACAAGCAGCTGAATTCATGTGTCAGAATCCATTTAGGGAAATTATTAATGGAAAACTATTTTATGTTTACAACTTTAACCATTCTAATGACTTCACTTGTCACCAGTGTATTCCTTGCCTTGGGATCATTTAAACCCTATTGCTGACTGAAATCTTTCATGAAACAAAGGCAGTATGTTGGCGATTTAAAAAAATCCAGAATCTATATACTGAAATATCTTTATTAGGCCAACTCAAAGATAAAATCAGGTGAACTTTCAAGATTTCCAGATCTCTTCATTAGGCAAGATATAAATCCAGCAGCAATTTTTATTTCATAAAAATCATCAGTGTTATCTTTCCTTCACTTTCATTTCCAAAATTAGAGGGAATCAGTGGCAGAATACATGCTTTGTATGCATAAAGTTTCAGTTTCAGCTCCTGGCATCTGCAGAAAATGATACAGGAATATATGGACAAGCAGGTCTATGTTCCTATGATGTACTGAACATCTATTAATTCTTTGCCTCTTTATACCCCACAAGTTAAAACATTTCTAATAGACTTTATCCAGCCTAAAGGTTAAATCCAACACTGAACGGACTCCTGGTTTAAGTTGGATGAACTTAAGCCCTATTAATTTTAAGCCATGGCCCACTGAGTTCAGTGGAATCTAAATTCAGCGGTTTAGATCAAAACCTGAAATTGTGTCCTCATTCACTTCCAAGGTTTTCCACCATAAGTTTCCTCATTGACTCTTTCTCTTCTTTACAGCTTTCCTCAGTCCCTATAATCCATCTGTTTTTCTCTCAGGTTCTACTTTATTCCTCAGCATACTTTTCCTCCTCACTTCTCTGTCTTCAGCCACTTCCCTCAAGTTATTTTCTACTTTTCAGCTTTACTAACAGGCCACAGAGGTTGCCCTGTTTGCTTAGCAGTTAAAGTATCTGAAAACTTTTCATGACATCCTAATATCAGAGCCAATCATTTCAGGGTTCCATCACCCTTAGCACTTAATATAGATGATTACAAATCAAATTCAATTAACTATATAGTATAAATATTATACACATCAATTTAAACATTTCAGATACCATTTCTTCTTCTTCTTTAGGTTCAGGTTTAATAGTTATTTCCTGCAGCAAATTTCTTGAATCAGTCATTTGTACATTACTGGAACACTCAGTTGCTTCTGATCTTTTAAGAGAAACTGATACAGGAATTTTCTTCAGATACACTCTCTCTTCTTTAAAGAGACCAAATTTCTTTCTCAACTCATGATACTGCTTTCTGTGTTGCTCTTTCCTATGCTTGATCTGAACAGTCATTCCTGATGAGATCTTCTCAATCTGAAACAGTAAATATTCAGCATATAAATTTTCCAGATCACAATTATTGTTCATAAAGCTTTATATATTTGTGTAATTCCACAGAATGTTTACAGTGAGTACCCTATTAAGTCACAAAGTCTTCTCTCTGTGTGTGAAAGTAGAAGCAACACTGTGAAATGCTGCAGTGTCAAAATAAATGAATACTGTTTCAAATAAGCAAGTAAATTTACTACCTTTTAACAGTAGGAAACAGGATATAAATATTACTGCCTGCATAAGCATGATATAGTTAATATTATATGTTTATATTTTATTTTTTACTGTAAACCAATTTACATATTATAGAAAAGTGGTGTTAAAGCATTTAAGAAATAAATTATTGATATTTAGCATTGTCAGATTATTTCAGCTATTTATATTGGTCATACCTATGCTGGAGGAATCCTCTTCAGAGAAGAAGCTATAACTCCCAGAAACAAACATCACTGAAAAGCAACCAATAAAACCAAGGAAAGCCTGGGCCCTTAGGAGAGATAGCCATGGATCCATCTGCACAAGAAGGGAACTCCATCAGAGACGGAAGCTGAGTAATCACCTAGATCCCAAGAGTGGTGGCATCTCAAGAGGTAAGCCTGAAAAAACCCTGTGAGGAAGATGGTCTTTCCAGAAGGACTCTTCATGAGTAAAGAACTTCCTTAGAAGGAACACCTCTTCGAGATTTCTTGGATGTACCATAGTTGAGTACTGGAAGCTTCAGCTTGTAAGCTTCAGTTACAGACAGCGAGAGGTGCTGAAACAACAACAGCTCTTATATGGCCTTATATCCTAGCTTTTGTGTTCTTGCTTCTGCTCTCTGGTGATGCTGAGCCCTGGATTCCTAATGACACCTTGTTTCTTCTGTTATGCCAGTATTGAATTGTTTGCTTGCAAATTTTGACCTTCAAGCTGCTTTTGCCCCATACATTGCCTCAGGATGGAACCAGACAATATTCAAGCTTTCAAAATAATCAAAGTGGATTCCATGAAATAAAATATACCAACAGAAATAGAATTTTCTACTATTCTGTAGTAGAAAACTAAAGAACACAAATATAAAAGCAGCATTAAACCTATTGCTACATGTAAATACTATGTTACTTTTAAAAAATGCAAAGCAAAGCACACAAACTGCAAACTTTTCTTATTCACTGGAACTATAATATAATATACAATTCTGTACCACATATCCACTAGTGAACTTTCTATACCACTGACTACTAGGACCAAAGATCAAATTTACTTAGGGGAGCAGTATGACTAGCCCATTGTTTTGTAGTTTACATGGTAGTTCTATATTTGCTTTGCCTCTGTATCATAAACTCTAAATATTAATAAAGTATTTTCTATTAAATATTTGCTTTTTGTTAGGCATAAAGACATGTGAAACCATGTCACTGGGGAACCTCAGTACGACAAAATGTAAACAGAGAAGACTTTTGTTTTTGTGTTGTTGTTTTCTTCAGTAGAACACCTGAGACAGCAGACAATCCTGTTTCACAATACATTTTGTCTTTTGTTTTAAATACCCTCATTTGCTCTTCTGGTTGACCTAGCAAAATCCTCTTCCTTTGACTACCAGTTAAGAACCAAAATATATATTTTTCTCTTTTTGGTCGTATGCCAGGGGTCCTCAAACTTTTTCATCAGGGGGGCCAGTTGAAAGGTGCTGGGCGTGGGCCGGAAAGGCAGTGCTGGCAGTGCGTGTGGGCCAGCGAGGGGGTGGGGGCGGCACACAGGCGCAGTGAGGCAAGGCAGGGGTGCGTGGTGAGGAGAGAGGAGGCAAGGGTGGGGCACGCGGGCATGGCGAGGCGGCCGTGCAAAGCAGCGGCTTGCTCACTTAGAGATCGTTTGCTCCGAGTGAGTCCAAAACAATCACTGCACAAGCAAGCCACCGCCTCCCTGCGCGCAGGGCGAGGTGGGCGGCGGGCACAGGGAGTCCAAAACCTCTGAGGCAGGCCAGATAAATGGACATGGAGGGCCAAATCTGGCCTACAGGCCACAGTTTGAGGACCCATGTTCTATACTTATTAGCTAAATATTGATTTTAGACACTTAAAACTACATAATGAATGCAAACTAGTATAAGTTGCCCTATTAAGAGTTACCTTTTGATCTTCTTCTTTGGAAGCATCATTCACTGTAGCTGATAATAAAGCAGGAGGTCCTTGAGAAAGAATTTTCTGTACAATGCTATGGTTTGTATTTTCTTCTGTAATTGACTTTTGAGCAACATTCATTTCAGCTAGGTTTCCTGATGGAGACACTGCCTCATGCTGGCTTGTATTGTTTATTTGCAGATGAGGTGATACAAGCAAAGTATATGCAGTTGTTAAAACTTTCTTCACTTCAGGTTGTGCATGAGGTTTCATATTTTCACTGGATTTTGGATCTTTCACATTAGATGCAATCCCTTTGCTTTTTGACAACACTAGATTGACAACTTGATTGGTTATTGTACTATCTGCAGCTGAACTAACTAACTGAGATTTTTGTTTTCTGAAGTGCATTTCAGTGCCAGGTGATGCTTGTTCACCACACTTGTTTGTTGACACAACACTGGATTCTTTTCTAGTCAGTAAAAACACTTTCCCATTGTACATGACCAGGGCATTATCTTTTATGGAAGTAACTTTTGCTTGGCTTTCACTCATACTGGAACAGGCAGGAAGAATACTAGTAGGATTGCTTTCCATATTTTTTGTATCAACCAAAGTTTTTAAGATCTTTGATGCCATGGTATTTGATGACTTTACAGGAACAAGGCAAGATGCTGATGACTTTGGGCTTTCCTGGACAACCCATTTCATAGGAGTTGCCTGTTTTTTCTCACTATCGCATGTTGCTACATCTAGGGCAGAACTATCACTTGTTTGTGGCAATGTCAGTACTAAAGGATTTGATGATGTCTCCGCAACTGGTTTTGGACATATATTTTGCAGTGGGTTTGAAGCTGTCATTTTCACTGTATTTACTGGTGACACATAAATAACAGTTGGTGTGTTTGTAACCTCACATGCCCCAGAAACATTAGAGGTTGCTGCTGCCAGTATCTTCTGTTGAATTGTTGGTGGCAAGAAAGAAGCAGGAACAGATTTGACTTCAGCATCAGCTGGTATTTGAAGATGATGACCAGACGGCAGTACTGGAGACTTCACAGTGACAGGAAAATTTTTTGTATTCACAAGTACATATTCTGCATTGCTGTTATCTGAACAAACAGAAGTAGCATCCTTTTTCAGAGTTGATCTAACAGCTGAATGAAAATTACCCTGAATGTTAGAAATTTTCAGTGTACTTGGGTCCTCTTCTGCTGCAGAGGCTATATTCATCTTTTCCATTTGACTCAATCGCTTTGGCAGAATCAATTTTTCAGATGTAGCTGAGGGTTTATGTTCAGGGGTTTTAATAGACAAATCCTTCAAAGTACCATGACAAGATATTGAAGCATTTCCTTTTGTATTATCAGGTATGACTTGAGGTTGAACGAAGGGCACAATTTTTCCTAAAGGGTTAGAAACTGGAAGCAATTTCAGAAGATTTTTTCCATCCAGTGCAGTTGTTTGAACCATGTGGTATACACAACCTGTAATACTTTAAAAAAAAGAGTCACATAAATAACTAGGCCCTCATATATTGCGAATGATTCTGCATAACGATTATACAATGGGAATGGTTCACATAAATTTACTATATCCTCCCAAGCTCTCAAAGTGAATGAGCAGTAGTCTGTTAGAATGGGGCTCAGTTTCTCCAGCCACTTTTGTTAAACAGGGCTTTAGTGTCTCTCTCCTACCTGCTCAGAAGTGAGTGAGAAACAGTTTAAGTAACCTTCAGTTAAGATAGGAATAAGGAAGCTCTTTTAACTAGAAGAAAAAATTTAATGTTGAAGACGTTATCTGCAGCCACATTCCAGTGGTCAGTTGGGCTGAAGGCAAACAGCAGGGAAAAAGGATGGGGTCAAAATGACAAAAGAAAGGAAGAAGCAAGTGCTACCCGCGGGGAACTGTCCAAAATCACCGGCTACCCTCTCAGTGAGGTAAGATGCACCGACAACCGGAACTGTGGAGTGCGCCTTTCCTCAGGAAAAGCAAAAGGCCGCCAGGGGGCCTGCGGGGGACGCGACGCGCGAGAAGCCAACGCTACGGGGCGCTGTGGCAGTAGCGGCGCTAAGCCGTCCCGGCGCTTCCTGCCGGGCGAGAAGGCGGCAGTGAAAGCCACCGAGCGGCCCTCCCCGCGTCGCTGTCAAGTCTACCCCGCTTCTCTAGGCTGTCGCTCCCCTGCCACGGGGCTTGCGACGAGAAGCGAGTCCCGCTACTCACCAGGGCAAGGCGGCAGCTCCGGACCCCCCCTCCCCTTCACCCTGGCCGTTCTTGCTCTGAGCTACACTCTGCGCCATTTCGGCCATAGCGACCGGGGAGTTGAGGGAAACGGCGCAAATCCCAAGCACCTCAAGACCGAGAAGGCAAGAACCACTTCCCTCTTCGGCTGGATTACGATTAAAGTGCAAGTTTTGACGTACTTCCGGTCCTGGGAGCTTCTCGCAAGGCTGCTGGCTATTTTTCTATTACGTTAATCCCTGTGCTCCAATAAGCACCTTTCGCTCCGTCCACTTCCGACAAGAGCTTTTCTACTTAAGGGGGCGCTACTGTGGGCACATGCACGGCAGCGATCCCTTCCGGGCATTCGAGAAGGACTTCCGGGCTGTTGCTGACACTTCCTGTGCAAGGGGAAATGATAAATTTCTTTGTGTATTTTCACAAATAACAGTGCCACTTTATCTTAGTGTTTTTGTTTCCAGGTTCAGTTAAGTCTGAGGAGCTTACTGTTTTAAGATCTTTACAATATGACATTAATTTCTTTTCTTTTTTGGTATAAAAAGGGAATTTGAGGTTTTCAGCATAAAACAATGCCAAGTTCTGTATTCCTATTTGAATGTTACAAATAGGGTAATCAGGTGAGAAAGAGAATAGGACTCCTGATCATTAATAATAATACAGAAGGATTTTATTCAGTTTACCTTGTTGTGTTAGTTACAACTGCTGACATTTACTCTTCACAGATATTAAGGGTGAAGGACACCTGTCTCTCTTTTCACCTGCCCATCCTTTATATTATCCAGAGTCTTTAGTCATCATTGAACCTTACCAAATTTCATTTGACCTATTCAAAGAGTATAGCAAGGTCTTTAGTTATGAAGAATAGAAGACACACAGCAGTGGGGAAATTGTGATAGTAAGGGATTACAATTTTCCTCGAATAACTGCTCAGTTGTGAATGGTAACCTGATTTGCAGAGCTTCAGAATTCATCTTAATTAGGGCTAATGCGTTTCATTATCTTGAATATCAGTGAAATGTATAAGAACCTTCACCAGTGTGTAATAGTAGAAAGATAAGGCTGGTGAACTTATTCTATGAGATTAGCTGAAACTAGTATGGAACTGGTAACTAACCCTGGTAAAATTAAATTATATGGATAGTAAATATTCTAATTTGTGGTGGAGATGTGGCTGAGAAGTGGGTATATATTTCCATATGTGGTGGGAATACGAATTTATAATAAAATTTTGGAAATAGGTTTTTAAGTAAGTAAAATATTGAGTTTAAATATTGACATAAATCCTGGAATCACATTATTGTCAATATTTGATAGAAAACAATGGAGATGGAATATTAAAGAATAACAGTTTTATTAATAGCTGTTAATGATAGTAAATTGAAAAAAAGAGAAAAATAAAATGGTTTATCAGTTGAGTGATTGGCACAGAGAAGTTTGAAATGCAGCCTTTCATGATAAGTTGTGATATTTATTTATTTATTTATTTATTTATTTGAACATTTCTATGCCGCCCCTTGCTGAAGCCTCGGGGCGGCTTACAACACAATAAAATACAAAAGTAACAATATAAAATTAAAATTAACAATATAAAATAAATAAAAAATATAAATATTAAAGTGAAAAAAGGCTTGATAAATAATTTTGATGATATTTGGGGACCATTTATTGAGTATTGATAAAGGGGTTTTGAAACTTCTCAAAATTAATTGCTATTTTGGGAGATCTAGCTTCTTGAAAGAGTAAATCAGTTCATAAGTATCCAATCATTCCGTTGCTGGGATGAACTGCTTTTGTTATAGTTTAGTATAATTGTAAATGAAGTGTGTTTGTTTGTTCTTTCTTTCATTTTAATTATATTGTATATAACATTTTCTATATGTTATGAATTGGATTAATTTTTTGCTATCAAGTGGACCGTGGAATACACTCCCCAGAGAGGTCCGCCTGTCACTGACCTTATACTCCTTCTGGTGTCAGGTTAAGACCTTTTTATTTAGCCAACATTTTAATAAGTAAATAAGGATTTTAGATGTTTTAAGAACTGTCCACAGTCGCATGTTCTTTTCTTTTTCTATTCCTTATTTTCTTTAGTTTTATGAAATGTTTGGTTTATGTTTGTTTATTATTTACTGTTTTAATCATTATATTATTAGAAACAGTGAGTCAGAAGGGGTCTCCAGGGCCATCTAGTCTGACCCCTGGCTCCAGCCCACCATGTGATGTCTAGCCTATCCTGAGGCACCAATGGGGCCTCAACCACCTCCTATGGAAGCCCATTCCATACCCTCGGGGTCCTAACTGTCAGAAAGTACTTCCTGGCATCTAAATTGAACCTTGGTTCCCTGAGCTTTGCTCTGTTGGAGCACGTCCTGCCCTACTCTGCAGGGGAGAACAGGTCTCTATTGTATTATTGTAGTATTATTTATAATTGTAAGCTGTCCTGAGTCTCTTGGAAAGGACAGGATAAAAATGTTTTAAATAAACAAGTGAGTTAATAAAGTTAAGAGAGAGAGAGTGAGAATAGCTGTTTCAAGCAGGGACTATTTTGTGACAATTCTGATAATCTTGTTCTGTATGAAAACATAGTAAGATTCATACTAGATCAGACCAAAGGCCTGCCTTGTGCAACATTCTATTCACATGGCAGTCAACCATTTAAGTGTGGGAAGCACACAAGTAGGTCATGACGGCAGTAGCACCATTCACCCATCTACCTCAGCAATTGGTATACAGAGGCATATTAACTCTGTTATTGGAGCTGGTATGTAGCCATTATATAGCCTGAAGGACATGGCTTCAGTCTGGAACCTGTTAAGTTGCTGATGCTTCTTGGTCTCTTGGTCCTGCTACATGCTGTGGACCACCAGCCTATTTATTTCCTCCAGACTCCACTGTGCATACATCTTTGCCAAGACAGGACAACTACAAGTTAAGAACTTTTTAACATCCAACCATCTGTACAAAACACTTAAGAGTTACAGAAATGACTGTCTTCAGACTCAAGATCTTTGATGTATATAATTTCATTGTTCTAAGTCACATTGATACAAAGCTTTGCTAGTGAAGAAATCATTGCAACAGAGTAGGACTTTAAAATGACCACGGAATCCTAGACTAATCTTAACTATTGAGATGCATCAACATTCATGTAGAGTCAGTAACCTATGGTATTGTCCTAAATGTGAACTCTAGTGAAATCAGTATGTCTCTACAAATTTCAAAAATGTCAGAAATGTAAGTCAATAGGTTTGTTTAGTGAGCAAACCCAATTTTATGAATGAGAAGCAAGTTTAAAATGATCAGGAGTATTTCTTTTTTTGATTTTACATAATGCTTTCTCATGTAATATACTCAATAGTGTCAAAGAAGATAAAAGTTTGACTTGTATTTTAATGAGTTCAGTAAAAAAACTTTTGTCTTTCTTTAACAGCAACATAGCAACAATAACTTTAACAGCATCATTTCTGAAGCTTGTTAGAAATTCCCATCCAGAGAAGGGCAACATGTTGATTTTAGCATAAGGAATAGTTAAAGCAACCATACAAACTCTGCTGTTTGGAACCAAAGATTCTTTTTCTCCAAAGAATCCTCCTGTCAGTGGAAGCACTTCTTCCATTAAAGGGAGAACTTTCTATCAGCATAAGCAATGGATCTTTGGATCCAACCCTATCAAAACACTAATGAGATAGTTGGGAACTTGTCTATGCTTAAAATGAACTTCTTGGAGTTAAGTTGAATTAAACAACATCAAAACCTGTTGCTAAATACTTAGGGTAGTTCATATCAGTGGTTAAATCAGTGTAACACCAGAGACTAGGGGTATTGGTAAATACTTCTTGTTTACTTTTATAATGAAATTGGCTGTGGTACAAAATGGGTGTGAATCATCAGTTTTAACTGATAGATAATCAGCATATTCATTTTGTCAGTCTGTATGAAATATCTCATCCTACCAGAATCAGGTACACCAGAGCCCATTGTATTTTTTTTCTTAAACCATTTTAGTTAAATTGATTAGGTATGCCTAACTGCAAGCTGTAGAAGCAATCCTTTTAAACTCTGCTGAGGCTGATCAGAAATTAAATACAGTCCCATATCCCTTTTGTTTCCTTTAAAAAGGAAATCACATGAAATGACAACCGACCACTGATGATTATGTGAGAAGCATCTGCAATTGCTGGTTTGAGATTGAAGCAACTGCTACATCACACTTTTATTTGGACTTCAAATTTGCTATGGAATTTGGTGCCTTGCCTTCACAAGCATTTCCCAAATTGGCAGAGCAATTTCATCCCTGGTTGTGGGATGGGCTAGTGAACCACTTGGCAAGAGGCGAAACCCCTGCTGCCCTTCATTATCTCCTGTGCCACCCCTTGTGCCACCCTTTCACCAATGCTTTTGGAATAACTATCACTGGTTTGCCACCTTTCTAATTATATTTTCATCCTTAGAAAATTGCTCAAATTGCTAGCTGTTCTTTTACTTATTTCTTTTGTTGGTTGCACTTAAGGACTGTCCACTATGTATAGACATACATTGCCAATAGCCTTGTGAGTTTCAGCTGTCAAAAGGAAGTAGGTAACAAAGGTTACTTTGTGCCCAGTTTCCATGGTTAATTGCTAGCTGCTCGTTGAAAAGATTGAAAAGCAATGATAGTGACATCGAAAAAGGATAATGACAGTATCACCCTTAGCAATGCGATTCTCTAGCTTTTAAGTGCTGAAGGGGCAAACCTCATTGTCTATTATCAATCCCACTTTTTTGGCGTGCTTATTGCTGCAGTCACTGCAGGTAGACCAAACGTATTTGCACATATTGTGCGCACATTTTCTAATGGTTTGCCAGTCACTGACAGCCCCACTCTGAGATGCTGCATGGGCACTCTGAAGCAGCTGTCAGTATGGGGATAGCAAATGCCAGCTGTCAATTCAGCTTTTAAAAATCTCCCTTTCACCAAAAGAAGGGAGGGATAAAGAGCAAAAGCACCACAGAAGTTGAAAATATTTCATGATGACAGCAGGGAGAGGGAAATAAGTCAGGCTTGCCGTGGCATTCCTGAGAATACTACCTGCACAGGAACCAAAGGGGAAGGAAGGGGGGCAAAAACCCCACAGTGAGCTTGATCATCTGTGGGATGCACCACAGGTTCTTCAAAGAGCAACCAGCTTATCGCATGCAAATGTGGTCAATGTGCTTTTTAAGTCTCTATGTTTCCTGATTTTGTCTGGGAAGTCAAGAGTTCCAGTCCCTTTCTCAAGAGTTTCTTCTAATAACTGGTTTACCACACTGTAATGATTCAGAGTATAAAAATGTCTGGATGAAAGAATGTTAAAATAACTTACTCAGATGAGAAGACTTATACTTTTCCAACCCTAATAGCCTCCCTCATATTTTTATCTGTCCCTTGACTCATTACATAATTGTTGGTGGTTACAGATTGTTCCTTAAAAATTTCCATTGAATGAAGAAATACAAATGTAGATGCCTTTATCACTTCTGTCATTAGTGACTCCTCTCCAGCCATGATACCAGCAAAAGTGACCCCATGACTGTTTTTACTAGCAGAGATGTTTTAAGATATTATAACTGCTTCATTGAATCTAACTAATGTTTGTCTAGTCCAGCATCTTGAAGAGTGGCCAACCAGATGCTCTTAGTGTCCCAACATTCCACAAAGATAAAAGCCACACTTGTGCCAACATGCAAAACCAGCGTTCTGCTACTGCTCCATACTGGATCTTCCAATTGCACAGCTAGTTTTTATTGTTGTTTTTCCCAGCAGAGTATCTTTCAAGTTACCTTTTTTGTTTTGGACTTGCTACTGAAGTTTGAATTTATAATCCAACCAAATCTCATCTACATTAAACTCCAAGTTAATCCAGAGTACTTCAGCCAAAATACCTGTTTCCTGCTGCTTAGATCATATCAAGATGCTTATTCTAGAACATGGGTTCTCAAACTATGGCCCGGGGGCCGGATATGGTCTGCCATGCCCATTTGGACCTGCCACATGCACCCCCATGCCCATGTGCGCCCGCTGCTGCCCACCTCGTCCCGCGTGCGGGGAGACAGCAGTTTGCTCGCTTGGAAAAAACAATCTACAAGCGAGCAAGCCACTGCCTCGTGCACCTGCCTCGCAGCGCGTGCCTGCCCCACCTCACCTGGCCTGGCTGCACATGCCTCCCTCGTCTGCCGCAATGCATGCGCATGCACCGGCACCTTTCAACTGGCAACTATACTGCAAAATAATGGTATTAACTTCATATTTTGTACAGAAAAATCTATACGTAGCATTTATTATCAAGTGTAAACCAAGTATCATGAATATGTTATAGTAAAAATGTCCACATCTTGCCTTGAAACGAAACAGTAAAATAAAATAACATGTTACTTTTAACTAAATACCATTGGAACAGAGAGCAATAAAAACAGTAAAAAGGTAAAGTTAACGGTTTCCCCTTGATGTTAAGTCCAGTCATGCCTGACTTTAGGGGGCGGTGCTCATCTCCGTTTCCTAGCCAAGGGAGCCAGTGTTTGTCCGCAGACAGTCTCCATGGTCATGTGGCCGGCATGACTAAACACCAAAGTGCACAGAATGCTGTTACCTTCCCACCGAAGTGGTACCTTTTTACCTACTTGCATTTGCATGCTTTCGAACTGCAAGGTTGGCAGGAGCTGGGACGGAGCAACAGAAACTCACCCCGTTGTGCAGATTCGAACCAGTGACCTTTCAAGCAACCAGCCCAGCAGCACAGCGGTTTTAAACCACTGTGCCACCTGCATCCCTTTACAGTACATCCATGTAAAAGAACAAAAACCTAAACATTAAATATTTACTATAAATTCCATGAATCATCTGCATAGTAAGTTACTCTATGAATGATGTCAAAAGTAGGTCTTTAGAAAAAGCATGGTTTACAGAAGAAGTTCAAGAATAAAAATTCCTTGCATAATTCCTTGCAAACTAATTTCCCAATTCAGTCCATCACCACTTTTGACTTTGACAGGAGTTTCTATTGTCTGTTTAACAAAAATTGGTTCTCCCTGGATGAATCAGGCTGAGATTCTTGACACAGGTGCTGAGTGCGGTGTCCACTGGATAAAGTGGGACTTACTACCAAGTAAATATAAATAGAATTGGGCTATCATTCAGTTTTTACTTGTTCACTGTTTCTGGCAAGTTTTTCTTTTCGTGGATGCTCTTCAGAATGTTCACGCTTCAGGGTCATTTCCATTGGATCATCCACATCATCTAGAAAGGAAGAGGAGAATATCAGAAATGCAATAGATAAAAATCTTAGTTTTGATTTACAATGAAAATTGCAAGGGAAATATACAGATTATTACTATGCTCTTCTCTGATTACCTCAGCATAGACAGGGAAGAGGGAACCCCACAATTATTCTTACATTATATTTCTATCCTGCTTTTTTTCCTTTTCCAAGGAAACAACACTAGGGCATTTCAACATTTGCCAGGGGACACACCTCTTGTGAGCTGAGCTGTTTTATACTGTTCTTCTCTGACTCGTTTCATCTTCTGTAGATTATGGTCGCTGACTTCTTTATGGTTTACCATAGGAAGGGGATAATCTTTACCTAATGCAAAAGAAAGCAACAATGATACAAGTGTAATTTATTTGAACAAGAAACTTCTCAAATGAATTTATACCAGATATTCTGCTGGTAGAACCTTTTCACTTTCTTGACTAAGGACCAAACAGGCAAATTAGCAGTCCACCATTCATGGGTACAAACAAGCCTGAACCATATAAACAAAATGTGTGGATAAGGTAATACTCTGTTAAAGGCTGGAAAGATGGATCCTCTCTGCCACGCCCTGGATCAGAGAGAGGGAGCAGGCTCTGACCCTAGAGAAGCAGAGCATGGGCAGCCGCCTGGTCACTTGGGCAATGGGTAGCTGTACCCTCAGCACTGTTCAGAGGATGAGGAAACATTGCAATCTTCCAGCTGGGACAATGTTTGCCTGACCAAGAATGCAGTTATTGGAACTGGGGCAGTTCTGCTGTCATGGCAATGGGGACACCTTCTCATGCTACCCTAAACATCTTTCCTGGAAAGGAAACCACAGCCAGGAAAATGGAGGAGAACAAGGAGCCTGAGAGAACCCTGCCCACTACTAGCTGTTCTCAGAGAAGGGGGGGGATTTGAAGGTCAGGGCTGAGCAAGGCCCCCTCTGGTTAGTATGAAATGGAAACAATGTTTGCTTTGTGCATTACCTATAATGCAGCCTGCCTCAATCTGTGCTGCCTCTGGCGCTGTCCAAGGTTCATAAATGTATTTGGAAGGAAAATTCTTCAGCACTGGGAGGTATTTTCTGAAACATATAATTTGTGTACACCCTGTAGAAAGATGCATGACAAATCTGAACTGCCCTAGATCACCATTATAGATTTTCAGGGTATACATTTCTAAGCTGCATTTAGACAGAACCAAGAGAAGCTGACAGGTTTTCTATTCAGTTTAAGTAGAATGCACACTTTCATCTCATAATTAAATGTGGTAGTTAATTTTATTCACTTTAGCAGGATTCTAATTGTTTGTATAAGCCGTGATACAATGAAAAGCAAAGAAAGAAAAGGGCAACCAAAATGCATGGGGTTGGTGGGACTGGAAGAATAAAGCATTTAGGAACTTTAGTTAAAAAATAACAGAGATACATTCTTAGAATAACAAGATGTAAACTTACTGCCACAAATACATGATGAAGGCTGATGGCAACTATTAGCTCCAAGGGCTTAAGAGCAACAGTGGTGACAATGGCTTACTTATGAATTTTCCAGGAAGCATGCCGAGCTACATGGACCAGCTAGAACAAAATGGATCTGCTTCAGCAGGGCACTATCCTTAATATGATAGACACTGAACTGAACAATTTAACCACGGGTACTTACCGGATATATTGGCCTTCTGGATCTGTGCGCTTGCCAAAACGAACAGGACAGAAAATGCGTGAGTACTGGTGGAAGAAAGCACTGGCAGATAGCCACATCCAGTTCCCTGCATTAATGCTATAATCTGCATCCAGAAGCAGCTCTTCAAACACCTATAAAAGATTAGTGTTAAACTAAAACAGTGCATAAAACTGGTGAATTGAACCCACAGAAAATGGCTGGATCTCCTGAACTGGGAGTGGTGATTACTTTTGAATCATGTGGAAGAAAAACTTCCCTGCCCAGAAATGTTTCCTGTAATGTTCAAGACAAAAGTATGACTGCCAACCTGCATGCCCTCTTCCCAACTGATCCAGAGGTCTCCACGGGTCAAGAAGCAGGCCACTGCATGACGAGCAAGATGGTGAATCCAACCTTCCTGACGTAGCTGAGTCATAATAGCATCAATCCAGGGAAATCCAGTTTGTCCCTAAAAAAAAAAAGGTCAATGATCTCAGTTTCTCTGATCAGCTCTGGTGTGCTGTTCTCCCTCCTTCACCTCTCAGAATGCCACTTTTCCTTCTCTATATAGAATCTAACATGCAAACTAGACATGCTACTAGACACATAATGAGCAAACATCTCTTTTTTTTGTTTCATGGAGGACAATTTTCATTGGGATTGCAGTGCATGGGAAGGGGAGGTTTAGAGTTTAATTCTGTGCATGTTTAGACACAAAAACTTTTTAAAGAGCTTTTTCCCTCTTCAAGGGTTCACTGCTTGGGGATGCTGCAAAGTTGTTCTACTTTTTGTGGAGGAACAAGAGATTCAAACAAGAATACTCCCTACAACTTTGGGAAGAGTCCATGTTTTATGCTGTTTTAATCACTGTACAGTGTTCTGAGAGTAACAACTAAAGATCTGTTTATAAAAAGTTTAAATAAATGAATAAAATTGGTAAAAAGACTATGAACTTGATTCTTATCTCTATGGGCTTAGACTGTTCCATGTGCATCACACCTGCTTTTTCAGTTATGGAGTTTCTATGCTATGTAAGATAACCCAGAATTGCAACACAACACACGGAATGTTCTGCTTCTTAGCTACAGTCCTAGATATTCTTTCAAACAAACAGATGGAAATCTTATTTAAAAATCTATGTGGAAATAATGCACTCCCTTTTATTCACCCATATTAGTTCAAAACAAGGCACTGCTGACCTACTATTCCAAATCAAATTATAATGTTCTAAAAGTTACCATTACAATTATTTTTAATTGTCCTTGCAGACTGCACCCAGACTTCTGAACCCCATTCAGCTGAAATACTGTGGTGGCCTACAAAATGGCTATCGGGATTCTGAGATAACTACTTCAACCCTCTGGTACCAGTGTCTTACCATTTTCCACCTGTGGAGTTTCTCTGTATCCTTGTACCATTCTATCTGAAGGCAGATGGGATTTCCAACCATTTTTGTAAAGTTGGGTGTTGCTGATGCTACTGTATAAAAGAATTCTCTCCAAAGCAGCTGTCCTTGAAGAGATACTGGTGGCAGCGAATGGTTCTTTGACTGTAACATGGATGATGGCACATGAAAAAAGACTAGAATCCATGATTAGCTTAAGAATATATGATAATTAATAAAGGGACCCAGATTCAGCACCGAAATAACAAAACTATGAGCTTTTAAAAATGCACTGTTTCCAAATGCATTATGAGCTCTGAGCTACCCACCTTGATACACTTAAGACAGAATCTTACACAGTTTAGGACATAATCCCATGAATGTTTAGACAGAAAAGGAGCATGCTGGGAGCTCTAGGACATTTTCGTTTGAACATGCATAGAATTGTGCTTTTACAATACAAAATGTAAGTATTTAGAAAACTAGTGGATGAAGTATGCAGAAGCTTTAAAACACACACAACAAGTTGCAAGTTGTGCTTTTCTGGAGCTCTGGCCAAACAAAGCATTGTACAGTATATAATGTCCTCTTAAGATAGAAATGCTGTTGGCTGGAAAGTCTTGTGGATGGAAGTTTGCAAACAAATTTGGAAGCTGTTATATTTCCCTTACAACATCTGATATGCAGTCTTGGGGCATCTCTTGCACCAAGTATTGCTGATGCTAACATTACAGCAATGCTTTTACCAGCCAATGACTGATTTATCTACTACAGCTTTATCTGGGAGCTAGTTTCACCTACCCACACACTATATATCCAGACTTTACCTATATATTTATTTCAATTCTATACCACCCAATAGCTGAAGCTGAATGCAGTCAAATACAAAAACATTTTTTCAAAATCCAAACTTTTCAAAACAAAAAAAATAAAATAGCATAACTGTTTTTAGAGAGAATGTAAAGTTCTCTGTGTAGGGCTGTCTTTAAAGACAGCCTATAGGTTTCAGCTGCTGCAAAATTCAGCTACCAGAATGTGGGGCCGAGGTGGTTTGATCATATCACACCAATACTGCATAACTTGCACTGACTATTTCCTTCTACGCTCAGCTTAAGAGTGCTAGTGTTGACTATTAAGCCTTTGAATACTTTGTGACCAACTTATTTAAAGGACTGCTTCTGCCTCTATGAACTTGGCTAGTCCCTCAGAAGTGCTACTCCCTGGTTCACCACTGCAGTCAAATAAATTGTGGGTACTTGGAAGGGGACAAGAGCTTTTTATGGATTGCTATTTTTATGGACTTCTGAAATTCCTCTCTCAAGGAATAAACAAAGCCCCCTTCTTGCAGCTTTTAAGCACTTCCTAAACATTTGCTTTTACTCTGTCAAGCTTGTTACTAGCCTTATTGCTATCCCTTAAGTATATATTTACTCTAGTGTTTTTTACTATTATTTCTAACATTTAAATTTGTAAATTGGCTTGTGAGGGCCTTCCATAAAAGGTAGGATAGAAATATATTAAACAAGCTATTTATTATATTTACATCCTGCCTTTTTTCCTTTTGAGGAACTCAAGGCTGCTTATGTATTTCTCTTATTTCTCTCAGTCTTACCAAAGTATTATGTTCTTTGTAGATACTGAGGCTTGTCACATTTGCTTGACTCACTTTCATCTATGTGGTGACTGGCAACACCATTTTATCAGGCTATGGAAAGCAGGGCCACAATCAGCTCTGCTGAGCCAGGTCTATCAGGCTTCTCCCATATAGTGATACCTATCAAGAGGTATTCCATACTGCTGAAAAGAGGGAAAGAAGGGAAGCAGGTCTGCTCTATCTGCTGTGCTGGGAGACTTACAACCATTTCGTTTCTGTCCTTGAACTTCATGCACTCTCTCTGGTCATTCCAAGAACAGGTTTTTATAGCTAGGAGCTAGTACAAAGGTTGGCAATCTGTGGTCCCCAGATTAATATCTTACAGCCCTCTGCCAAATTTCAAAAAGCCTCTTGCATGCAATCAGTTCAGACCTAGGACAAGAGCAATGTGCCCTTCCTTAGCAGAAAACTGGATAGGAGGTAAGAAGAGTGAAAAAAGGGAATGGCAGGGAGGGAGGGAGGGAGTAATCACCCACTTTTGGCTTTGGCCCTGTTCAGTGCCAGTTTCAACCTCAGCTTCTAACCAACATATGGCCTGCAACAGAATTCAAGCTTAAGATTTCTACCTGCTCTTCTTCCCAATCCTTTTCCTTTTGTGTAATGTCTTTTAGATTATAAACCTGGGAGCCCTATTCAGCTCAGGAATGGTAGAAAATTGCTTGAAATAAATAAATTACAGCATAACCTTACCTGAGCATAAATTTTTGACAGTCTATGAAAAAAAGTCCGGGCTGATAAACAACCCAAGCTGAAATAGGGACTCAGGCCTGTAGTACTTGGAAGCAGAGAATTTGGGATAGTTCTTGGCTTAGCAAACTTTGCTATCCAGCCCTAAAAAGAGAAGAAGAAAAGCTGAATACCATAAACAGGATGATATTTGAGGAGCAGGATGCCCTAGCTGTACTCTCTTGACAAGCCTTAGATCTCATCTCACCATTTTATCTTCTTACACATTTTAAATGCTCTGTACCCTAAGTAATATGCAATGGAAAGAAGGGCTATATATTCTTAAACAAATAAATAAGTACCATTATTGCATTCTAAGTAAACTACACAGCCTCCACACTACAACTCTGTGCTTGTCTGTCCTGACAAACCCGAAGTATGTGACTTCCTGCTCTACTTGTAGCAAGTACATCTACACTTGCAAGGAGAGGGACTACTTCTAACTTTCAGCAGATATCTGAATATACACACACAGAGATGCTACCTTTATCACCTCCACTACTCCTCCCAGGTACAATATATGTACAATATATATGAATTGTACAAGGCCAGGAGCTGCTTTTGCTCTTCCACCTCCACACTCTATCTTCAGCAACTGCTGTGCTGGTTTTTCAGACTCAGAAGACACCATCAAAGATCACTAAACCATGGTTGGAAAAGGACTTCAACCTTGTGACCCTCAACCATTGTGATTGCTATCATTCCCCAAACTTTGTAGTAAAACTTTTAAACCTGTTTAGAAAGACTGAGTTCCTGCTGAGGTATGCCCCAGTTAGCACTGAATAATACTGCATTATGTTCATATATATAATAAAAGTTTAAACATATGGCTCTTATAGGGAATTAAAAAGAGCAGGCTCTGATTTTTATTTATGCACCTCTTGCAAAGATAATCTGAGAGTCTGCTGGTTATCTTCTTCCCACCAAATGTCAAGGCTAAGGAAGATATATATATTAGCAAGAAGACTAACCTGGTTCTTCAGGTGATCTTCGAGTCGCTGCAACCCAACTGTTTCCCCACCTCTCCAGGGTGACTGGTACTCTTTGGGAAGTCCCAAGTCCTCAGGGAGAGGCACCTTATAGAATTCGTCTAGGCCAGCTTCAGGGAGAGGGCTGAATTTTCTAAGGACAAAATAGATGTCCTTCAAAAAGTGAAGGCTACCACAAGGAGACAGAAAGGGGAACTTTCCTATCCAGCTTGCTAAATGAAATTAACACTGCACTCTTTTTCATCACAGTACAAGTGATTCACCTAGAAAGTTGAATCTTATCACCATTTGGGATGGTTTCTGTCCTGTGGCCAGCAGAAAGAAACATGACTGACTGAGAAACTGCTGTCCCTACCTTCTCTCAGACAGCATGTTGAGACAAATATCTAGGAAAAAGTGGTCAGGAAAACCCCATGCAGGGCTTTAATGTCCCAAACTGTGTTAATGGACAATTGCTCATCCACAAAGCAATGTGCAAGAGAGAATAATGTTTAAATTATTGTTATAGTAATTGTGAAGCTCACACATTATAGAAATAAACAGGCCAGGTAACAACTCCTAGATATATTACTTTAGCTCTCTACCTTCCACACTTCCATTAAGAATTTTGTCCTATTTGCAGTCAGAATGTGTCTATATTATGCATTTAAACTGATTTAACTTGACAGAAATCTGGGAAATAAAATATTCTTTGGGCTCAGGGATGTTTACAGAGAGCAATTCAACCCGCTCTCCAGAATGACTGATCTCAAAGTGAATTCAGCATGAAATCCTCAGTGAAATCCCTTGGAGTTAAAATTGCTTAACTTTGTCCTAGGCTGGTTGAGGAAGCCTGGAAATCACAGAAGTTTTTTTATTATTATTATTTAAAAAGGCATAGTATTGCAACCTAAGGATGGAATCCCTTCGCTTCTAGACAGCCTTGGAATCCCAGCCCCAGCTGTGGAAACACATTGAGCAGTCAGAGCTGGGATTCTGAACGCAGAGCAGTCTCCTCTGCCCTTGTAGCTGGTGCAGGAAGAACCATGCTGGCTTTGACTCTAAGGCCCAAAGATCATCCTTACAGCCAGAGGTGTGAGGGCATTCTGGGGGGAGAGAGGGGAGTGTCTCTAGTATATTATATAGTATTCTTATGGTGGCTCAGCTTCCCCTCCTCAAAATCAGCTGTCTAAGTCTTTTGCAGGGTGGGACAAGTGCAAAAGTGATCTTTGCCTCTATACTCCTTCCACCCTTAATAGGATGTTCATAATCCTCCAAGTTCAGAGAGTTAGAGGCAGCTACATTTGAAAGCAGTGGAAGAAGCTTACAATAAGTTTACATTTGTAATATAGTCAGTTGCAATTCATACTTTTATATGCATCTGCAGTTGTGAATTCAATGACTGATATTATGCAAAGCAGCGTAAAATATCATAAAACATGCAAGTACACTTCAGTACCTAATACCATCTGCCTGAATTCCCTGTTCAACAACAAAGATGAGATCACTTATGACTCTCTCAGATAGATTTCAAATTCATTTATCTCAGTACATGCCAATTTTTTTCAGATTCTAGCTCATTCATGATCATCCTTTAATTTTTTTATATTTCGAACACTGATTTTGAAATGTGACCTTCCCAAATGCACAGGGGTTTCTGAAGAATTGCCGTAATATTGCCACAGAAAATTGTTTGTTTTAATCAAAACCAAAGTAACTCTATCTCCAATTTGTACTATAGCTATATCTCTAATCTGTACATTATGAACCAAGGAACACAGACATCTTTAGATAGCATTCCTTGAAAGAACGTTTTCATCTTCAGGTGGTATAGTCCTTACTGTGAATTCTCTATGGTGATGTCTGGCACAGGCATCTCAGGATCTCCAAGTGCTGTTAGTATATGAAGAAACCTCTTGTATGTCAAAGGAGGTGTTCCTCTGTTTAGTTCCACAATTCTGAATAACACAAGACAGTTATATTATGAACCATCAGAAACCATTTGTACAAGAAGGCTATCAGGGGATGGAATTCTACCATAGCACAGGAACTATCCTTGCTTTAAAACTTGCTTGGGTAATATAGGTTAAGTGTTGCAACTTGAGGAATTTATTTATTATATTTATATCTCACCTTTTTTCCTTTCAAGGAAATCAAGGTGGCTTACATAATTTCCCTCCAAATCTTACTCTCACAACAACTCAGTCTTATCCCCTGTGAAATTTCAGCTGAGAGTCTAGGACTAGCCCAAAGTCACCCAGTTGGCTCAAAGGCTGAGGGAGGATCAGAACCCAGATCTCCTGAGTTCCAGTCCTGCATTCTTAACCACTATACTACACTTGTTCTATTATAGAAAACAGATTACCATATTCAACTGCAGCATCTCATAGTGTACACATATGTACGCAGTTGCTTGAGTAGGTGGCAATTGCCTACACTCCCTGCAGATTTCCTACCATTGCACGGAAGTTATGGAAGGGGCAGTTGGATATAATCCTGCTGCCCCATTGCATGTCAATGTTTCACCATTTCCCAAAGCTGTGTATTTTTCTACACAATGTTATCTGCAAAAACTGGCCTGTCTTTCTTCAGGTTGCTTTTTGATAGATGAGCATGGAATAGTTAATAATTGTGAACCGCCCAAATATCTTTGACTTTTGGGCAGTATAGAAATGAAACAAATAAATGGACAACTAATCCATGAGAACTTCTAGCCAGATGTATACCCACCAGATGCACACCAATGCACAACTTAGCACAATCTGTGTACTGCAGACAGACACAACTTCCAGAGTGATTTCTATGGCACAGCATGCACAGAATTGTATTGGCACTGGGTCATCTCACATCACAGTGCTCCTGATGTCAGCAACCTTCCACTGCTTCCTACCATGCTGGACCTTTGACACCCAATGGTGCAAACGTGGCTCAAAGGGTACAATGCTTTACTAGTGTCTGCTTGGATACACAGTTGTAGTTAGTCTGGACATCCACACATAGCTATCTGTGCAAAACACTTGACTTTTTTCAGTTTGATTTCATATACATAGAGGTGTCCAAGTAAATGATCGATTCATAGGAATATTAAAGAGTAAGATCACAACAGATAAAAAGTTAAAATTTAGTATACATGTAGTCAAGTGACTCTAGCAATGCAAATGATATACATGTTTACTAAGAAATAAGTCCCACTGAATACAGTCCCACTGACTTATCCTTTAGTACGCATCATAGGTTTAGTATTCTAAAACTCTGGAAAGTATTAATTAACCCTAACAGTTGAAACATGCTAAATGTATTCATTTTTATCTCAGCTTTCGACCAAAAAAATGGCAGACATGATGTCTGCTTCATAAGAGTGCCCAGTTTTAAAGTGTCAAATCCCAAATGCAACAAAAAGGATGAATGTAGGAATTCCCCTTTGAAAACTTGAAACAGACACAGGTGATGGGGTGGGGATTTGCATCAGCAGCCAGGAATATACCTAAGCTTTCAGAATGAGAGTTGTGTTAACATGATTGCTATAATATAATGTGGGTTCCCAGGAGATGACCCTTGGCCATACCGTCGAACATCATACAAAGTGTGCCCCACCAAGGAGAATACTTCAAATCCCATTTCTTTTCCCACAGCTCGGATAGTCCTCTCCATTTCCTTGTAAAAAGGTTCAGTTTCATCATCCAAAGTCACTTGGGTAATATTCCACTTCTGAACATGCTCCCGCAATACAACCTCATACTCTCCTTGAATAATCCATAAACAAGAGTTCAATTTCTTTAAGTTTCCCTGGAGATCTTCCAGAGATTGAAGAAGAAAATGCCAACGCATAGTTCCAATTTTCATTGCACGTGTCAAAAATTTTCTGTCCAGTATGTAGACTGGATATACAGTTTCAGAAGATTTCAATGCAGCTAGAAGAGTGGGATTGTCATGTAGCCGGAGACCCTTCCGAAAAAGATGAATTGTCTGATGAGACATGTTGGATATTTATTTGATCCTGGAAGAATAAAAAAATACATATCTATATTAACTGGATGTGGGACTGGAGATGGAAAAACTCTGTGGAACTGTAAGAGTTCCCATGAAGCCACATAAACTTGAGTAGAGATTAATAGACTGATGCAGAGTAAAAAGTACAGACATGTCATTTAACATGACAGTAACTAGTAGTATTATGTTAATCTTGGCAAAATATTATGTAGTGCAAATAGAAGGAAAGGGACTGACTTCTGGAAAATATAACACCACCATTTTAGGTGAGGGCCATTATAAATAAAAGGAAAGAATGTCAGAAGCAGATGTAGATTTCCTTTATCTCTGACACCAATGTTACTGATATTCTAGTGGTATACACAGAAAAAAATGTTCTGCTTCTGTCTACCTCTCCTTCTGTTTTTACGGTACATACCCATACAAAACAGCTAATTTCCACCAAATAATATTCCCTACAGGAAATTATAGAGTTGTGCTTTTCAAAATATGCCCTAGTATATGCAGGCTTGTGAGGGGTCTCTTGATGAGAACATAGAATGAAGGAAAAGCATTCCTAAAAGACACTTTATAGTACAAATCTATACTTACCTGTTTTAAACTAAGATTTGTTGTATCCCAAGAAACTTACTCCCAGAGATCAGTGTACATAAGGAGCCACCTCAGGGGACTTAGAAGCATTCTATAAGTGAGGTAAAATAATAAAATCTTGATAGTTTAAAATAAAGATAACCAATTGAATTTCTTTATGGACACACAATCTGGATAACACAGTGGAGAAGGCCCTGTGTTGCACCTGTACCAGCTACACCTAAAACTGTGGTAGGTTGCAGAACATCTGGATGCAGTGAGTGGCCAGAAAGGAGGAAAGGAGGTGGTCATTCAAATATTCTGATGCCATCCCTTTTAATCAGGGGGTCTGAGAATCACTGATCTAGAAAATCAAACAAAACCTTTTACTTATCAGTTGCTAGAGTGGCTTGCCATTCTGCATCCATTTTGCATCTTTTCACAACCCCACACTTTATTACAGTAATCTCTATATTTTGGGTTGTGTGTTCCTTCAACAATGACAAAAGGAGGCACACTTACTATATTTCAATACTATTTAAATGTACTTGGTATATTTCAGATGACATTTTTATTGAAGAGATTAGAAGCTACAGGGCATTGGTGTTTTACTGATTCCTTTGCAGATAGTGAGTCTTAGAGTGAAAGAAGGGAGCAAAGTAGAAGTGCCAGACAAAGGATAAGAAGGTTAAACTAAAAATTTGGAAACAGCAGCTTTATCTAGAATGTCTAAAAATAGGTAATTTGCTACATAGAACTATACACTTACATAAAATATTCACATGTATATTCTGTCTACAAAATTTACTATACCATACTTTGTTCTCCATCCTATGTATGTTTAGACAGAAAAAAAGCACTATAAATCCTAACACCCTAACAGGCTCAATCCAACAGTAATTTACAGATGGTATTAAATTCTAGAGGTCTGCACTGCTAGAAGTATATTGTACAATGACTGCGGTCCTTCTCTAAGTTTTCCAACCATTAGCTGCTAGAATGGGAGCAGGGATAATCAGACCTTATTGTCATTTAATTGTTAGGATGAAACCATCCTGTTTTATTGAGTTTTTAGTTAGCAGCAATGGTTTCTATGTCCTCTTTGGACTGCTGATTTATTCTAAGTTGCAATACCATTTCTATTTATTCATTTATTTATACATTTTATATAAAATTTCAAAACTGTGTAGTATCCTTAGATAGAAATGGCTCATGCCCCCCCCCCCAGAGTAAAAAACCAAAATATAAAAGTGAAACATTACAAACAATAAATCCTTAGGGCACAAAAGAATTTTGCACAAAATCCTCCCAGCTTGGAGGATTCCAGGCATCCTATGCATGATGGGAGATGCACAGAGGCAATGGTTGCCTTCATGCTGCTCCTGCCATGCAAACACTGAGACAGCAAAGCAGAGTGAGGTGCCACTGAGATACTTCAGATCCTGGTGAAGCCTGTCTCCTTCCCTCTTTCCCTCCTTTCCACTCTCCAAAGTACACAGTGTTTCCCAGGCTGCCTGAAGGGACCAGGGAGTTCAGTGCCAACTTTGACCTCAGAATAAGTTTTTAAAAAACCTATGGCTTTCTAGACTCTGTCTAGCAGCCTTAAAAGTGCACCTTTAAAAACATTAAAGACAATCATAAAACAGTGGTATTATGAAACATTGTAAGCCATGCATATTCTGTTTAATCAAAGATGTGTTCAAGAGTCTATAGAGCTCAATACACATTCTGCCTCACACCCACTGTGCAGGTGCTGCAGAGGGCGGATGCCACTATCAACAAGGCTCACTTATATCCTGAACACTTTACTGGTCAAGAAGCAACCAGTAAGGCCTTCTTGGAAGGCCAACTAAGTTTTGAGTTGAATTAAATTAGTTTTAAGTTGTTGTGAACTACCTAGAGAGTTTCAGCTATTGGGCAGCATGGAAAAATCAATAAAACTTAGTGCATATAGGGGAAGGCAGTTAACTGTGCCAAGTTGTTTAGTACTGTGTATACCAACAAAACTTGTTCTAGTCCCTAAATTGTTAGTTGCATTTCTTACTTGTTCTGATCACCTATTACCACCCAGTAAGGCCATTAAGTCCAGAGTCTGAAATGACCTAACTGCACCATTACCAAAGCATTCCACTCAGCACTTGCCCCAGTGGAGGAATTCCTCCAAATGTAAGCTCCAAAGAAAGGAATGTCCTCAGGAGTGGCTTAAAGTTATTAAGATCCAGTTATTAAGAACTGCAGGAAAGGCCTTCTTGTCTGCATTGGCCTGTTTGTCCGGTGTGCACAGAGGGGCTTTCTCCTGTGTTGCTCAAACTAGAACCTGCTCCCGCAAGACTATAACTGGCCGCCACTCTCTTGTATTTTCTGGTGTGTTATGTTACTACTGTACTGCTTTTAATGCTCCTGGGGTTTTTGTTTTAACGTAACATCATTCGCAATTGTGCAGCACCTTGATGGCTTTTTGGCAGATACACTTTAATAACAACTTCGGAAAGGAAGAAAGCATTACATTCCCTCTCCATGCTTGGACCACTACCGGCCCGGCCTGGCTCTTTTGCTTTTAAAAGCACTACCATGTTCAGCTCAGCGACAAGAAACTAAGTCCTTCCTAAATCTCAGGAGGGGCTGGGAGGGGTGTTGCATTGGCAAGGCGTGCTCCCCTCGCTACAGCCTGCGAAGGGCTACTAGTACAGCGAGAAACAACCCCTCCCTGCGCTTCTCGTGCGCGGCGTGGATCGCGACACGAGCCTCACGCGGCAGCGCGAAGGCAAGAGCCCCACACAGCTTCCCCTCCCGCCACCAGAGACGCCTCTACCAAGGCTGAGGACATGGCTCCTGAAGGGGATGGGGACTCTCCGGAGTGGCGCGTAAACGCGGAGCGGCCCATTCCCGCGGGGCGAGAGGGGTGCTCAAAAGGCCCGGCCGCTCGCATCCTAGATTCATGAGAGAAGACGTGGAGAAGGAATAGCTAGGACCCGGGGTTACCTGCTTTATTCCTGCAGCTGTAAAAAGGGACTTCCGGCTGGGAGAGGCACCCCGGCTTCTGGTTTCCGGGAGCAGCCGCCAGAGGGCGGCGGCGGCGGAGCGACAGGCTTGCAAGCTATGGCTGCAATGAACGGGAGGGAGGGAGGTTGGTTGGGTGCGGGGTTGCTGGCAAGAGATGCGATGAACCTGAAGACACGCTTGTTTAAGATCTGTAAAGAATTGCAGCTCTCTGCGTGCGTTCTTGAGGAAGGAGGACCCCCAGAAAACGTGGGACTGGCTAGTTCCAAGTAAAGGTGCGAGGGACCCGGTTCCGACCCCGCTAGGAGTGGGGGCAGTTGGAGAACCCCGTTTAGGCGCAGCATGCCTGTGCCGGAGTGGCGACTGCGGGCAGAGCCGGGTCAGGGTTCCTATGAAAACATTTCCTGCGTATAGAAAACCAGCACAGGAAAAGGAAAGACTTCCCCCTGCTATTTATAAACAGGGATGTATTTAGTTTTTAAGAGATCACTCCTATCGGAATACCTCCAGCAAAGGCACATACATGTACATGCTATTGGGGTTTTGTGGTTTTAAGTTATTTTGTGTGCATGTTTTAACATTTGTTAACCACCCAGCTATTGGTTTGTATCAAAATGAAATACATAAACACATAACAAGTTTATCATTTCAGAAAGAGCTAGGTTGAGTGATGGTGTGAGGCATATCTTTATAGGTGCCTCCCAGCAGTTAATCTTTTAAAACCACCATAAGATAAAAATAAACAATATGGTATTAATTGTTGAATATGTGTGAGTGGGGGGTGTCAAAGTACTAAACCTTTCTAGCTTGTTAGTTCTATAAATTTTCAAACTTTTATGCTAACCTAAATGACTTTAAAGGATATTTTAGCTATTGTGCATCTTAAGTGTGCATTAACTTTGGTAACAAAAATCAAAGAGGTGCACTAGAAGGAAGTAGCAGTAAAGACATTCTCTTATGACACACATTGCAAACAGAAGCAAGTGGGCCAGAAATCAGGTCCTTGGGAAGCTACAAAATTTGGAAGACAGATTCTCCTGCTCATTGCTAATTATCTTAATGCGTTCATTTCTAATTTGACTGTAGCTTTTCTTTTCTTGCCACAACCTTCAAACTACAAACTGAAGTGGTGCCACCAAATAAACGAGCATGCTGGAGTAAGTGGGTTTGAAAATGGCATCCTGAATGCACCTAGTTTTTACCTTTGTAGTAGCGATGTTTGGACTCTTTCCATGAAGCCCAGGATATATCACTTTCTGAAGAATGTTCCGTCCCTTTCAATGGAATTTCGCTGACATCTGAATTATTCCAAGATGTGCCTGCCTCTTACACACAATAAAATAACTAGGTCATAGAAAGAATGTAGGTCACTTCAAGTCCCTTCTGCTGGCAAAAGCTGCACTTGAGGATTGCCCTATTAAGACTAGGAATACACTGTCAGTAGTTATCTGATTTAAATAAATCTATAGACAAAACATGTTTAAACAGCTGCTTAAAAATCAATCACTATCCATCATTTACAGATCAGATTTGGAAGGTGTGCAGGGCCTATGAAGCCCTGTTACTCTCAGAGGCTTACAACATGGTATGGCAGGGATTTCCAGGTTGTAAATCTTCTGTTTTAATGCTCTATTCTCAGACTTTATAACATTTTAATATACTGATATCTATCTATCTATCTATCTATCTATCTGCAGTGCACAATTTGTAATCCTCCAGATGTTTTGGTGTACAGATTGCCCACCTGTTCAATGTTAATAGAACTGTTTATCAGCCAAAATAATCTAAAGGGATGTATTCACATTAGATGTTTTATACTATACTGCATTTTATTGTATTGTTGTTCACCACCCAGAGAGCATCAACTATTTGGTAGTATAGAAATGTAATAAAAAGTGCATGTAAGCATTCTGCTGAAAGGGAATTTATTTTTTTATTTAACACAGTAGGAAAAGATAGTAAATTAGAGCTTTTATCTAATTTAACCAAAAGTATGAACATTTTAATTATTATATCTTAAGCATTATCAACTGTGAATGCATTTTAGTGCCTCTTAGATATGTTTCCAGATTTTAGGAGTGTTTTAACTGTTTCAGTTAAAGCACTAGAGGATGGAAAGTACAATAAAAGATTTTTTTAGGTATCTGAGAATATTTTCTCATCTGTTTTGGATTTTAAAACATCTGGAGGACCATGAGTTGGCCAGAATAGTTATAAATTATAGCTTCAACTGACCTGGAGGTTTTGTACATACCAAAGACAGAATCTTTCATATTCAATTAAGCTGCTTCTGTACAAACATAGGCTTAGTTTCTAAGTATCCTTCTTTTGGCAGGAGTATCAACTGAGCAAAGTTCTATTCACAAGACTTTCCCAAGTGTGGTAAAGGGTGCAGACAATTTTGTGCTTCCCCCTGAAGCCATTGTTCCCTGGAAATCTGATTTAGATGGTTGGGAGGTCCCCTGGAACAGTTGGTGAGGGGCAGTTTTGGTTATAGAGGTCAGGGCAGAGAGGTGTTAAATTGCCAACAGACTTCTCCATTTCCTCTTCCAAAGGGAGACTATCTGACTGCAGGCATTTCTGTGGGCAAAGGTGGAGCTATTCAAGAGAGCTCAGGTTCCAGCCTGTAGCAGCAGTTCTCCAGAACTCTAAATCAGAATGCTAGTCAGACATGGTCATGATAATTGTATGAAGAGAGCTGGTTTTTTCCTGTAAAATGAAGAGATCCATAAATGTAGAAATCAAGGCTAGGCTATTTGTTTAGAGTTAGACTGCAACCATTTTAATTGCTCTTGTCTATTAAGTAACAGGTCAGAGAGATGTAGATTCATATGATCAACCTTGTGTTTTCTGGGTGGTGGTTTGGAGGCTTTGAGATATTTACTCACTGAAAGGACTTACCTAATGAATCACTTGCCACTTACCTTAATGGATCTATCCATGCTAGAGTTATCAAAGAACTCAAATATGAAATTGCTGATGTTCTTAATAAAACATTTAATATGTCCCTAAAATTAGTTCTTGTACCAGAGAACTGGAGAATGCCCAATGTAACACCACTTTTTAAAGGGATCCAGAGAAGATCTGGGAAATTGCAGACCAGTTAGTTTAACCTCTTTTCTGGGTAAACTGCTTGAAAGCATCATTAAATATGATGCAATCCATAAGCACATAGAGGGACAAGCCCTGCTGGGGCGGGGGGGGGGGAATCAGCATGGCTTCTGCAAGGGGAAGTCCTGGACTTTTTTGAGTGTCAGTAAGCAAATAGACAAGGACAATCTAGCAGATGTTGTTTACTTGGGTTCCTAAAAGGCTGACAAAGTCCTTCATCAAATGTTCTAAGCAGTCATGGAATAAAAAGGGAGGTCCTCTTATGGATCACAACATGGTTAAAGGACATAAGAGAGTTTGTAGGAATAAATGGCAACTTCTTATTTATTAGATTTATATCCTATCTTTTTTTTCTTTTAAGGCATTCAGAGCAGCTTACAAAATTATCCTCTTCCTGCTTTCAATCTTATCCCCACAACAACAACTCTGTGAAGTAGGTTGGGATGACAGTAAATGGCAACTTCTCCCAATAGAGAGATGTAACCAGTGGAGAGCCACAGGATTCTGCTTTTCACACCTATTTATACATGATCTGGAATTAAGACTAGTGAAGGAGATAAGTTTGACACTAAATTTTTTCGGGTGGTTAAAAACCAAAAGGGATTGTGAAGAGCTCCAAAGGGATCTTTCCAAGCTGGGAGTATGGGCATCAAAATGGCAAATGCAGTTCAATAAAAGCAAGTGTAAAGTAATGAATGTTGGGGCAAAAAAAAAAAAAAAAAATCCAAACTCTTACTCCCCTTATACAAATCTTTGGTGCGACTGCATTTGGAATACTGTATTCACTTCTGGTTGCCTTACCTAAAAAGGGACATTGTTGAGTTGGAAAACCTGCAGTGGCTACAAGAACTGGAACTGCTCATATTAGAAAAAAGACAAGTAAAGGGAAACATAGAAGTGTTTAAAATCATGCATGTGTGGAGAAAATAGAGAGGGAGACATTTAAACTATGTTGAACTACGGAATTCACTACTACAGGAAGTGGTGATGGCCACCAGTTTGGATGGCTTTAAAAAGGGATTGGGCAGATGCATGAGGGAGGAGGCTATCAGTGGCTGCTAGACTGGTTATATGCTGCCTCCTTTACCAGAGGTGGCGTGCCTGCATACCCGATTTCTGAGGAGCATGGGCAGGTCTAGATTAGATGGGCCTTTGGTCTGAACCAGCATGACTTTTCTTGTTTGCGGTCCTGGCGGTGCGTTGCAGTAAAATCATACAAGGGAAAAGTGCAATTCTTCAGAAATGTAAATACCCTGCACTCTTTACTTCAGACAGCTGCACGTTTAAACAAGTCATTAAAGAAAACGGAGAAGGCATTTGATCTTGTCAATTTAGTCCTTAACACCATCAAAACACAAATTGCATTCAGATCAGATATATATTAAGGGTGAGGGTTATATGTCTCCATATACTTGCTGGGGCATGCTGAAAGATGTAGGCTTTTCTCTCCAACTTGCATAGGATTGCAGCCTAAGTGTTATTTCTCCTCACAGGAATCTTTAGGCAACTTAAAAACAGATACCATGGACTATTTCAGGCCTCTTGTTAGCTTTAGTGGGGAAATCCACATACATTTTAAAACAAGACAGTACATCCTATACATTAAAAGCAAGGTCAATAAAAACTATTTCTGCTGTGAGAAAGGACACTTACAATTCTATAAGAAGGTTTAATTGGTTTGAGAAGGGAAGTACAGTGGTACCTTGGGTCACGAATGCCTTGGGTCACGAACAAAAATTTCATGAAAGTTTTGACTTGGGTCACAAACTCTGCTTTGGGTGGCGACCAAGATTGCAGCCATCTCCCCCTGCCCTCCTCCTCCTGAGTGGGGAAATGGCCACGATTGCAGTCGCGTTCGTGCAGGGAACACATGCGTGCTGCGCCCGTCTTTCCTGCAGGAGCGCACCTGTGATCACGCATGTCTTCCCTGCATGAATGCAACTGCGATCATGGCCATCTCCCCACTCGGGGGGTGGGGAGATGGCCGAGATCGTGCCCGTCTTTCCTGCAGGAGCATGCCCATGCCAGGGTTTCTTTGAGAAGCGCCACCCCAACATAAATGTACGAACAGAGTATTGAATCTGATGAAAAATAATGTGGTCTCTCATTTCCGGAGGGTTATGCAGCGCAGGAAAAAACAAGTGACTATAGACAGATTTTTCACCTAAATTGACCCTGCAGCTAAGAGACAAAGAAGAGAGGAAACCCCTGAAAGAGATCTTCCCTTATGGAGGGGGACCCTCCCTCCAAACAATAACCTCCCCCGCACCTAGGTTAGTGTTCTCCACTGTACTGTACAGTACGTACTTGGTTACTTTGTTGTTCTTTGTCACTTTGTTTCAAAATTTCTGATTAAAAAAATAGTTACAGAATAAAATAACCTTATTTACATTGAATCTTATGGGGAAATTTGACTTGGGTCACAACCAATTTGGGTCACAACCAGAGTCGTGGAAAAGATTAAGTTCGTGAGCCAAGGTACCACTGTATTAAAAACTAAATGTTTTTAAGCATTAAAAACAAAATGTTCAAAATGTTTTGGAATGCAGTTTCTTTTATTGTACTGGTACATTTCAGGCAAATAGTTTAAATAAAAATGAATTATTTGCACCAGGCCTTCAGAGTCAAATCTCAAGGTGATACCTGGCACAACTTAAAAGGTTCTGGCCCATGTTTTAATCAATTTCACATCTTCCTTGTCTCAGGAAACCAGCAGGTGGTGCTAGCGAAACCTATTGCAGAAAATTTCAAGCACAATTTACAGCTGAAAACTGCTTTACAGTGTCAACTCAAATAACTTGGGTAAACAAGATTGTAGTCCTATGTATTAATTTCTCAATATAGTGGCATTTATATTTTAGTACACATGCACTAGAATTGTCAAATAGTGCAAATCAAACCACCACCCAGTAATGATATTCCTGTTTAAAATATGTGGACATACTACAAACTGCAATTATGAGAATGTTTTTATTTCCACAGGGATTTTATTAACATCCCTATCACCCAATTACTGAGCAAGGGTTTATTATGCAAGTATTAAAGGAGCAAAATAACTATTAAGGTTTCTTATTAAGACCCAAGACAGACAGTGTTGTATATTTAGATTGTAGCCTTTCTGAAAGGCTAAATCGAATACTATACTTGAGCGACTCCTTATGTAGCACAAGGTAGCAGTACATTTATCCTTGTGATGCACAGACAAGCTAAGGTCACTGTCCTGAGTATCCAGTTAACAGCTTACAATTAACCTATGCACCCATACTCCCACATAGCACTGAGTTTAATGGAACTTAATCCCAGACATAGGATGCAATCTATAAGCCCCATAGAATGCAACAACATTTATTTCTGACTAGGGATATACAGAATTGCAGTGCCAACAGCTCACAGAGATAATCCGTGAAACAATGAATAATTCTACTAACAAGCACTTTATATGCTTGTATCACAACATGTTGCCTTGGAATTTAGCTATGGCTTTTAAACTACTTGCTTCTCCTGAGTAAAAAGAACTCTGTACATGCGCTTGGCTAGTTACACCTAGGCAATTAATGGTTGATTGAAGATGGACGGGAGGCGGGGCCGGGGAAGCGTTCTACTGAGAACAAACGACGATGTTGCATTACTGTACACGCAACAAAATCACGGTTCTTGCAATGCGAGATGCCCCTGACCTTTACTATGGACGCTACGTGGCATCATTAAGCCGTGTCTAGTTTACATTGGAAAGCCCACTTTTAAAAAATTTAGCACATTTATAATGCATAAGAAGGGTGTGTATGGAAGGTGGAATGAAATGACACAAATTCCATCCCGTGACGATTCAGTTAGAACTTAAGTATATACAAAATGGACCTAGCAAGCAATTAGATCATCAGCAAATTGGTGGTAATTCAACCCTGTATTATCCTTATTCACTGCTAAGGAAATTAAAATCAGCACGGGACGAGACCAAACCCACACTAGAAGCGCTTCCGACGACTGTGCTCGCTTCGGTGCCGCAAGGCGGAACTCCCGTCCCCATCGACCAATTGGCACTCCGGCTGATCTTGAAGGGCACCCCACACGTCCATTCATGTCGCGACTTGCGAGGCATGCCGGGTCGCGCTTGTTTCGAAGCGGCCGCGCGTTAGTCCCACTCCTCGAAGGGTTTTTTCCGGGAAAGCTGGAGATTGAGGTAAACGGCGAAGTACCTTCGAAATTCTGCCAGTTCCCCGCCTTCGAAAACTGTGGACCTCCTCCTTGCAGGGCTAGCTGCTTCTGGCTGGGGTGGGGGCTAGTTCGCAGCAGGGGTGGGAAAGGGAATAATTCGAGTTCGGGGAGCAGTTACGCTGTAGGTGCTCCCTAGCTTTTCAGAAAAGCGCCAGAAGAAGGCATTCCTTCCTTTTCGTGAGGGGAAATTACTGGCATTTTCCGCCCCCCCCCCCCCCCCGGACGTATCCTGTTCCCTCAAGCAGCGGTGGAAGGTAGGCTTTCAGACGTCCTGGAGTTCAGGCGCCAGCAATGCTTGGTCGTTGAGGTCTGAAACATCTGGAAAGCTACTTTCTGCCGGCCCCTGTCTCAAAAGGTCCCCCAGATGCCAGCAAATAAGCACTCCTTCAGTTTCACTCTTCCATCTTTGCAGCTATTGGGGGAGAAGACTGAAGACCCTCCAACTCCGCTTTACATGGCGTCAGATTTTGGAGAAAAGGGTCAGGGGACACGGAAGGGCAGCCTCCTGGGCTTCCAGAGCCGCCATCAATGTGACTTTTAGTCAAGGCCTCTTTAGGAGGCAGAGGCAAGAGTGGGCCGCACTTCCACTGCTCGTTTTCAAGCCAAACCTGACCTGTTAGTTCTCAGTGGCCATTTGTGATGGGTGCCTCCCTCCCCACTTGTTGTGGATACACTGAAATCAATGGGCTTACGATTGTTGGGATTTCAGCAGGTCCACCATAAGTAGTATCTTTAGGCAATTTAAAGATGAGCAAATTTATTATGGCATGTCAGCCTTCTCCAGCTTGACACCTTCCAATTATAGTTCCCAGCAGCCCTGACCATACACAATATTGACTGGGGCTGATGGAAACTGAAAAAACATCTGAAGAGCATCAGGTTGGGAAAGGCAAGCATAGACCTTCAGTCCATTGATGTATTTTTTTTTAAGCAAAAGTAACGAAATGGCAGGGCAGTTAGCTAGATTGCCAGGAGGGTAGGCATGGACTAAAGTGTGTGAGTCTGTTTATATAGGCATTGCTGCTGCTTCCACAAAAGGCCTTAAGAACATAATCCTATGCATGCTTGTTTGTTGGGAACTGGAGGATTTCTTTGTTGCTATGCATGCACAGGATTGTGCCCTAAAATTTCTATAATAAACACTGCAAAACAGAAATCTTTAGAAAAAGAAGGATCTTTAAAATAAAAAGCTTCATTCTCTAAAGGATGCTATTCTGAAATAGTACTTTGCAATGCCTGCTAGTAAACCCCATCCTAGTGTTTACTGGTGTCTGCAGAGTTATACATAACTGGTCAAACTTCAGTCACCCATTTATTTGAGTTTGCTGTAAAATATGGCTTCTGATACATCAACATAGTTTTGGTAGTGATCCTCATTGTTCAGCAACAATTTCAGGTAAAACTGTTTCTTGTTTTAAAAACCTGTAAATCCTGTTGTAAAGCTTTGGACAGTTATTTTCAAGAATTTGTTGCTACTGCATGGGCAATATGTAATTCCCGATTAACAAAGGATTTATCTTTACTGAAATAAGATGAAATCAAATGATGCAATTTTTTCCCATGCTTTGCAGTACAATGCAAAGGGCTTCACGATTGAAGAGAGAGCTGCATCTGCTGACCACAGAGCCACCACCAGCCATTACTTGCTGGCAGAATGGAAGTCGCATAGATGAACTTACTGCCCGTATGCATCTGTCTGGATTTGATCTTTATTTATCTTTAGGAGAGGGTTGCAGTGATTTTAATTCTGTGCTCTTCACTAGCAATGTTTTAAATGGACTGCTATCATAACTGATCGAATATGCAATTATTTTCAGTGCTTTTTTCCCACCTTTTGTTCCTACCAGTGTATGTGGATTTAAATTCTGTTCGCCTCTGAGACCGGTTTAAATCATTTTTATAGAAATGAGGTTTTCAGTTTTGAAATGCATAGTTCTTTCTGAAGATGGTGGTTCTAACAGCCAAAACATACTAGTTTGCAACTAGATAAAGTTATTATATGATCTAGGTCCCTAATTTAAATACTTTAGTTATGCAATCTATAACTTTCTGTAGAATTATGAAGACAGGATGTGGACTCTGTATGCATGTAAATCTCTTACTTGAAAATTATGACAGGAACTATATGTATACATACTTGGAAATACGTTCCGTTGAGCAAAGCAGGAATTTTTTTAGAGTAAACATGCCCAAAATAGAGCTTTAAATATCCAGAACTTTCTAGAAGTAAAGATTTGTTAGTTGTTTCTCAACCAAAACAATGATTTTGTTTGAAAACGGAAGTAAATATTTATTGGTATTTTGTTCGTATGGAGGTCCCTGTTTAGAAAAGGAAAATACAGACTGATCCAAGTTGTCTTTTGAATTGCAGAGCTAAATACAAACTCTAAAGGACAAGTAATAATCAGGCTCTTTGGAACTCTTTTTTTTTTTGTTCTGGTCCAGCTTCTTTAAGTTACTGTAACTTATGTGATGAATCTTCAACTGTTTTTTCAGTGGCTGCAACAGTTACCTAAAGAGGGCAGTGTTGACACATTTTAATATCTGTCTTTTTTTAAAAAATAGAAATACTGGGTCCTGCAAATACACCATATGAGAAAGGGGTTTTTGAATTGGAGGTAATTGTGCCTGAAAGGTAAGCGGTGATTTTTAAAAAATATTTAATACAGAAATGTACTTAGCTAAAGTGACCTTCAAGAAGGAATAAATGGTGGTCATAATAAATGGGACAAATTAGACTGCAGATCCTTAGGGGACTGGAATACGAAGAGAGCTATCAATACATAATTGTGTGGACAATTGAAAATCATATTGTATCATGTAGGTTTGAGTATATATATATTTAAAATGCCCAGGAAAGGGGGAGTTGTAGATGTTAAAATTCTGAAGTCCTTAGCTCTCTTATTTCAAAAATAGGTATCCTTTTGAACCCCCAAAGATACGCTTTCTGACTCCCATCTATCATCCCAATATTGACTCAGCTGGAAGAATTTGCCTGGATGTTCTCAGATCACCACCCAAGGTAATTAATTGCTTATCTTAAAGAGATTGGTGAGAGTGGTAAAAGCTACCAAACACAGGCATTCTTATCTGCAAGTGTGGATCCTGGCACATCAACTGGCAGGCTGAGGAGAGTTGGAAAGAAGCTGTACAGATAACTTGTCTGGGCTTCATATGAATGTCTTGTTTTAATTCCTTTAGGAGATTGCATTTTGTTTTTGAGAATCACATTCTTGCAAGATGTTTATTTACAACACTGATAATAATGATCATCAGTGTTTTGACAGTAATGAATTCAGATGGCAAGTGCTACCTGGGTTGTAGTCAAAAGGAGGTCACTGAGGTACAAAATAATTATCAACATGCTTGGCAGAAACCTGAGGTTTTCAGACATTTAAATTTTAAATAAAGTCTGAAGTGTGTGTGTGTGGGTGGGGGGGCAAACTGTGTCTCATCTCAATGGTTCAATGAATAATATGCATACTCGGTGATCTTTAGGCTCCAAGGAATGTTGCTTGTGAGTTGGAAAATAAGGTGTGTTTGTGTTTTAATGAGAGAGAGAATTGCCCTACTTGAGCTCCTTACTGTTATCCTTGAAGGGGAAATATAGAAACTAAGTATCTTTACTCCTGTTAGGAGATGAGAATGCATGGCAGCATTTTGTTGTAATCCACGCTTGTTCATATTAGTTGTTCTGATGGTTGCCCCTTAATCAACTGCAATCTTGAGAAAAATCTAGTTCAGGCCTGCAAAGGAATACACTGTAAGGAATGCTTTCACTTGTGTCTTACCATTACCTTGTCCCCAGTAATCTATCTTCTCCTTCTTGTGAAGGGTGCATGGAGGCCATCCTTGAATATTGCTGCTGTCCTGACTTCCATACAGATGCTTATGAATGAGCCCAACCCCGATGATCCTCTCATGGCTGACATAGTAAGTTTCTCCTCTTATTTTGGTGGAATGTGTGTTCAGTTTTGGAAATTAAACTGTACCCTAAGTTTATATGCTCTGCAAGGCAAATACATTGCATTTTGTGGTTTCTTCATGCATGCTTGCAGTGTATTTCTTCTAGATACAAATCTTCTAATTTCTAGTAATGTATCTGAGAAGAGGCTGTGTTAATTATGAAGTGTCAGATGTGCAAATATATATGCTTCAATAGTGAAGTGAGCACTCTCCATCTTGAAATATCCATGCTTAAAATGCATATATTGGATGCATATATTATACATGCAGTATATAAAACATTAAGGGCTCTTTCAAAGATCAGTCTTCTGTTCCTAAGTATCTAGTATGGTTAAACAGACTTCCATGCTGTCTGGTAAATCTGTCATCAGACATAATATGGTCTTATAGCTGAGGCCATAATTATCCTTGTCTCTTGCTTTTTTATTATGTCTAGTCCTCTGAGTATAAATACAACAAGCAAGAATTCCTCAGAAATGCCAGACAATGGACAGGGAAGTATGCAGGCCAGACAACAATGGTAAGAAAAATACATCACTTTTATTATAAAGGAATTGGGTGTAGGTTAATCTTCACATGTATAGTCTTGCTATACCCAATGAAATATTTCAGATCTGCGTCACTTAATTGCCTATCTTCCTATAATTGAATTTGTGGAATGGAAGAACTATGAATGTACCATGATACAGAAGTGTCTGGATTAACTTCTCCTTTCTGGAATACCTTTGTTTTCTGGCAAAGTGAGTATGTGCTTGTGCGTATGTGTTGATTTTTTGGCCATAGTACCATAGCATTTCAGGTCTTACTGTATTTTATTTTTGTCTGATCTTGTGAAACATGCCTTGGGTAAGAGTGTTTTGAATTTATTCTATTGCAATCATATTTTACTTGGAATTCTGACTAACTTGCAGCCTGATTATAAGACTTGTGGCAGCACACATGCTCCTTGTATGGGAAAAAATTCATCAGTGGATCTAAGGGGCTCTTGGTAAAATGGTATTCTGTACTTCAGACCCATTGATTTCAGAGAGATCTGGATCCATGCCATCAGTTTTGTTCACTAATCTAGCAAGTTGCCTCTGAATATGCTTCCATTTAGGCCTGGTCTACACATGTGGCAAAATGCGGTAGGAGAATCCCATGGCTGTAGAGTGGATTTGTATCTATTTGAACTGTAGATGGAATGCTATAATTGAATGCTTATTTGTGGGTTCCCACAAACAGCTAGTTGGCCATCGGGTGAACAGATTTTTGGATTAGATCTGTTAGATGGACCTAGCATGGCTGCTGTTACGTTCTTATGTTTAATGTTTCCTTGTGTAATAATCCCTACAGACTAGAACACAGACACACATGTGCATGCACACATATACTCTAGCACAGCAGAGAATGAGAGAGATTCTAGCTCATCCTGCTCCTCTTTGTGCTATATTTTAATGTGGAAGAAGGTTTTTTTTTCTTTTTATAAAGTGGAATATTAAAGTGTATTCCTGTATGCAGTTTGAGTGGTACACCCTCTTCTGTGACCCTGGGTCTCTGCCACACTGATTCCATCCTACTAAAAGTGCAGAGCAAGCCTAAGTTTAAATTTGCTTAAGATTTTGTCCCAATTTGTTGGTCCGAGAAAGTATAGACAGATAACTGAGTAAAAGACTGATATCTATGTACTAGTGCATGCGATCTCTGCAGCAAAATACCAGGTAGAATTGTGGGAGTTGAAGCATGGGCAGTGCTGGAAAAACAAGTTTGAGGGAGCAAAGGAATTGCAAAGACTTCTATTTAGGGGAACATAGATATAATACATGGTGTATAGGTCTTATAGTGTGGCCGAAAACTGATAGAACAAATAGAATAGTAATGAAAATCTTGGATTAGCACCTGCTACCTATGGAGTCATCACTCTAAAGAGAGCTAGAGTTGCTTCTTTCAGAGACACAGCCCAGCAATAGTGATGGGTATAGACTATGTAGCTGTAACAATAATTTCTAGGTAGGCTACTCTGTCAGTTTAAATTACACTTCAGTAAGCACAAGATGGTAATCAGTAACTGGCAAATGTGGCTTCCACTAGTGATCAAACCTGCTGAAGATTGTGATTATGCAGCTGAAACTCTAGGGACATCTGGCCTTTAAATAGTACTGCTGCTTCAGTAATCATGTTTTCTTGCCTGTAAACCAATAAAGATGCAGGGATGAAAATGAAGTGGCTTTTGCTTCTCAGACTGCTAGTAGAATTTAAAAAGTGGGTGAATTTAGGCTTTCTGTAGAGAGAACTCTGCATTTCTTTGAGGAACTACACTGTCTCTACACTGTCCAGAATGTTTTCCCCAAGTGTCCTATAAAGGATTGGTATATCTGTGGTAAAAATATGTGCATAGCCTATAAAAATCTTATGCCCTGCAAAATTTATTGATGTTATACTAAAGGAATTTTTGAAAAGGACAAAGAGTTCTCTAGAACAAATAAAAGTAGTTGAGCAATATGGAAAGAAAGGGACATTTAATCCTTCTGCATCATCACAAACTTGTCTGTTGAACCACTGAATGTGATAAGGTATAAAGTAAGTATAAGGACCTGAGGTGATCTTGGGTGAATATCAAGAGCATGGTAAAAAGGGGGTAGGGGTTGGACAGTTTGTATCTTTAAGGAGCTTTATGTGCTGCACAACTTCTGAGGTTCTAAATTAGGGAGCACTTGTATGGTGCGAATGAAAGCATTGCTTCTTTGAAGTGCAAACATATAAATGAACAGTCATCCCGTTTTCCTTCCTTCCCAACTGATGTTCTCTAATATTTCAGGCTTTGAAAATTCTAGATGAAGAAAGTCAACAAAACAACATGGAGCTACCCAAAGATTCCAGCATTTCCCAGAAGAGGAAAGGAAGCAATATCAGTGGATTGTCCAAAAAATCCCGCTCAGAAACATAGGTTCTCTTCTGTATGATATTCCAGAGACATAAATCTGTATGTCTCTAGTGTTACCTTCCATCACTTCAATAGGTCTAATGCAATTAATGTATTGCGTACTTATTATGTTAATATGTCTCTTGTTTTGTCAGTGAAATTAGTGTCTGAAATGATATGTAATTGCTTTTAAATATGTTATTCTATTTCAATAGAATTAAAATGTTTGATGAAATTCTCTCTTGCTTGTATTGTGTGCTGTCTCTTTGTTCTTATCACTAATGGACAGTTTTTAGGTAGGTGCTTCTTGCAGTTAAAACTGCTGCATGTAATTGGACCCTCATTGCCTGAACTAAACCAGAGTTTAAATACATCTTTTGTATCTGTTCTCCCCTTCCTCAGCTGTTTTGGAAGTCACAGCACACCTTAGGCAAGCTGAACATGGGTCTGGACACATAGTTTCAAGGAAGAATTTATGCTTTGCCTGCACAGGTTGAATTTCTCACATCTATAATTATAAAGAATATGCAATAAGAGGCTGTGCTGAGACCTTAGAAAGCTGTAGGCAGTATGGCAATACATGGGCACTAACAAACATGAGCCTAGGAACCCCAGAGTGGTGGGATAGGGTGGACATAGTTAACCATTCTTCATTAACTTTTCAGCTGTAAATCAGTGTGGGAACCCTATGAATATTGTAATTGTGGTTTCCTTTCCACCTGATGGAGATCTGTCTTCCTAGTGGACACATGCCAGTTCTGTCAATGCGTTTATGATAGTCATTCATGATTCCCAGTGATGTGAGAGTATGTTACAGAAAAGCTGTTCTTACGCAGTCTGCGTATGGGCCTGGGGTGGAGGGAGCCTTTGCTTTTTTTCACCTTGGCATAATGCAAGGCTGTAAATATGCTCAATTTGCAATCATTTGCTGATTTTTTTCACACCAGTTTGCATATAGTTTTTGTCTGGCAATGAGGAAACTAAAGTCTTTGTCCTAAGACTCTTTGCAACTACTTCTGAACTTAAGAAAAATCAGTATTCCAATAAGTCCTTTTGTCAATTTAAGGTATGGAAACAGTTATTAATGAAGAGTTATGCTAGAGAAAGTATGGTTTTACTTTTTGGGTACTATGTTTTAGTACTCTGTACATGTTCCACTTATATAAGGGCATTGTTTATTAATGGAGCTCCACTATAAGTTGTAATGCAGTTCTCATATCCTAAAAGAAGTATTTTTGTTCAGGGTCCTGAGGGCCAGCCTTCAGTAATGCTATCCCTTTCTAATCTAGCAAGCCAGCCAATTTTCTCTTCCCTTTTCCTCAACTGCATTTTTCTTCTCCACTTGATAGTTAACATTCTTTGGCTACCGAGGATGCTGAACCCTAATTGGACTTCTGAGGGGTCACTAAAGTAGTTGTCTTTTAAAAAAATATTGCTTGTATCTCTGCAAATATTAGGATTTCTCAATCACCTGAATACATCCCTCTTGTGCCAGAGTGGCCTTGTTTTTTGGCTTTAAGACTGGTGGTACTCATCCTTTGAATCAAACTGTTATGAGGAGTGAAATGTTCACAAAATCCTTGAGAAAACATGCAGGTCTTCATGCAGAGGATAAAAGCAAATATACTTTTATTGAAGTCTACCAACAGACAGACTAAATTTGATTATATGACGCACTCCCTAAAACTTAAAAACAAAATCTTAAGTTTTGTTTTCATTTGCACCTGCATTGCACCCAGAGAAATGCTTACTTTCAGCTATTCTGCCACTTAGTAACTTATACTAATTGTGCAAAGAGTTTGCTCTGTTTTATTGTAGTCTCAGGAGTGTTAACAGCTCTGGACATTGTAGCATGCATAAAGGTATGAACTCTCTTAGTATCAAGGATTTTTTTTCTCTTTCTAAACCTTAAAATTCTACCATAAGTCCATGCTGGGGTAACTGAAAAAAGTGTTCAGTTGTACACTTTTTTCATGTAATTCCATTGTATGTAATGTAAAGAGAGATGAAGGAACTGCAAAAATCAGATCTCTATGTAAGCCTCTATTCCAAGGGCCCTTTTTTATGAAAAGTAGGAAAATTTTAGAATATTAAACATTGTATTCTTACTCATAAACTATAAGATAAAGTATACATATAGCATAACCTGGGCTTTATTCCAGGTTTTTCATATTATCTACCTGTCCTTTTTACGAAAACAGTGTAATATGAAGAATTTTATAGGAAGCCTAGAGATACCTTTTCTTAAAATGTTGACATTTATAGTGGGAAGTATTTTTAATCATCTTTAAAAAAACTCATTTCTGCTAATCCTTATCAAATTATTGATAAATGTATCTTTTATTGATAAGACTCATATTCCTAACATGTGACTATCATGTGACATATTCCTATCATGTGACAGTCTATAACATATGTAAAGAAATTGTGCATTCTTGAAAGTTTGGCTTTTGTGCTCTGAAGTAGTGAACTGTGTTTCTGGGCTTGTTCCGCTTATACTGCTGTAGCAGTTAATGTTGTTCCAAACCCCACGTGTGAAAGTGCCACTGTGTTACCTACGACCGTCACCACATGCAATAGAACAATCTGTGAAGTATCCTGCCTATGGTTCCTTGTTTGTGGAAATCATTTGAGGCTTGGGTACAATCCTTAAACTCTATGGCTGTAATCTTATGGGTTTCATACTTAAGATTCTCATAAGCCTCTAAAGTAGGAGGCTCATAAGCCCCCTACACAGAGTGAGAAGAGAGAAGGCAATCTCTACTTCCTTGGACCTCCCATTTTACATTTTCACTTAATGGCCTTTTTCATCCACTTAGTTGGGGTCCTTCAGAAATTGGGATACAGCTGAGGACACAGGATGTGCCATATTCTGTCCTCTGCAGTTTCTCACCCACTGATCAGGGGAATACCCTGATCAGAGAGTGACTTCCAAACTCTGAAAAGGCAGCCAGAGTTGAGATAATGGAGCATGGATGAGGGGCTTGGAGCATGGATTCCTAGCTCTGAAATTAGAACACTCTATGACCAGAGTTAGGCATAAAACATTTTATGCTCTTAAAGTAACAGAGAGTACAACCTGATAGCCTACTGACATTATCTAGGAGGTGAGAGAATTGTATGAAGGTCCTGCTGAAAGATGATGGGAGCTGGAAGTCTGAAAGCCAAACCCCCATCTGTGCCCTCCTACTCCTAGCCAGCATGTAAAGAACTTTGCTGGCTGGCTCCCCTCGTCATTCCAGGTCACAACCGAGACTCAGAGGGAGGAAAAGGGGCATGTGGAGGGTCAGGAGGAGAGAAGTCTGGAGCCAAAGGCTTATGACAATTCCTTTCAGCATCCCAGCTTCCTTCCCCATCACTTCACCTAGATGGATGAAAATGGCCTTTCAGATAAAATACCCGGCATGAGATGTGATGACAGTGATGGTCACCACAGCACACCTCATGTCAGGCATGGAATGCATGTAAACATCTGAGTTTGGTCCAGACTCAGTTTCTTTATATCTGTAATGAGTGCTAAAAAAATATTTTTCCACTTCCCCAAAATTCTGTTTTTTTAAGGAAAAAAATCAATCTCCCCCACCATGGTTCCAAAATTTCTGAAAATTTCACAACTCTATGCATGCATCCTGTTGACAGGCACAATATAGCCAACCTCTGAAATAATTATATTAAAAGAACATTCTATCTCATCCACTCTGACAAAAGCAACGGTGATTATGTCTGTTTCCCAAAGATTCATCTCCTTTAATACTGTTTGCCCCTACAAGTGTTTTAGCATATTTTGACCACTAAAAAGATTCATCGGGGGCAGGTGGTGGTGGTGGAAATAACCCAGCACACACATACGCAATAGATTTCTTGCCTTTAATTACCAAAGCTTGTTGAAAATCGGAGGGAAAAATCTGATAAGTTGTGTGTGGGGATTTAAATATCAGTCTGAACTTTTGCCAAAATATGTTCCGAACCCTTTTTTAAATCCATTATATAATCTAATTAGAAGAATGTTTTTAGATTGGAAAAATCTGGATTTCAGTTCTAATGTCGCTGCTCACAGTAAAATTCTAATAAACTATCCTGCCATCTATTTTTGAGCCTGCTTGGCTTCTACTTCCCCAGGCACATGTTGTAAAATGAAATTATTAGACTTTTTTTTAAACAAAGAACCAACTGATCTGTTCTAAATTCGAGTATGCAAGTGTTTGTTGCACACACATGCGCGTGTAATGCTTTGTGCACTTTTGCCTATGAATGGAAAAACAACAACGGACAAGCTTTGCATGGCTGGGCAAAGCACTGCTAAGAATTCTCAGTTTCTGTTTTTTGTTTCCAAAGCTCTTCAGGTTTGACTCTATAATTCTCTGACCCAGGACTCTTACTCATACTCAAGGTTACATACTTGATCTGAAGTTTGTTGCTGATACAGATTTGTGTCATCTGTAAGCCCATTTATTAGACTTCTAGCATAGACAGATCATTATGTGGCTCAGGCACACATTAGAAAGAGCCACAGCCTCCGTAAGAAAACCTGTTAAGATGCCCAGCACTTGAGGCATATGGATCTATCCAGTTTCTTGAATGCTGTGAAGGATTTAGCTGTGACTAGTTGCCTGATTGTTTATAATGAGCGGATTTTAAATCAGCCTGTAAGTTGCCTTGTGTATTCATTTAAAATGATATCTCATATCCATATAATTGTCTCCTTTTGCAGTAAACATTCATAAACCAACAGCAGAGTAATTCCTTTAATCTTGAATCATATACCCATTTATTCAGCAAAAAGAAAATTCAGCAAGAAGCAAAACTGGAGAGGCTTCTGGCACCTTAAGGATTATCCCATTTAATATGGAAAAAGCTTTCATGGGCTGACCAAACTGAGGTGTGGGAGCTGCATGCAGCTCTGAGTTTATTTTGCGGCCTGCCACTCTGGGTGCTCTCAGGTGCCCGTTTGCTGCGCATCACCTGCTGCCTCTGTGGGTGCCCATGGGCACCTGCTTGCCTATGCCATGTGCTGCCACTGCTTGTGGGTGGCTGCTTGTGGCTCTCAAACACCTGACATTTACCATCAGTGGCTCTTCCATGGAACAAGTCTGGCCACACCCCACGTCATCAGAAAGATCTCCCATTGATGTATATGGAATTTGCTTCCAAACAAGTGTGCCTAGGCCTGTAGC